ATTTTGGGCACACAACACATTCAATAATATCAAGTAAAAATTAATCAAATGGATTATGAATGGCGTTTTCTTACAGGTAATGCATTCAATATCCCAACAAAATGTTTACGAAGGTGTTTTAAGATATAGCCACCTTCAATAATCCGACAATTAAAATTTATCGTTGGGAATATTAAAGGCGTTTGGAGCCTAAAACGCCTTCAACATCCCATCCAAGTTTTGTCTATGGAATATTGAAGGCGTTTCTTACAAAACTGCCTTTAAAAATCCAAAAAAAAAATATAATTTACTGATTGAATTATAGAAGGCGAGTTCGGTCAAAAATGCCTTCAAGAATCGAGTCCATACTTTTGTTATCGATTATTAAGGGCGTCTTTCCACAAAAAACGCCTTCAATATTTTATGAAAATTTTTTTAAACCAATTGATGAAGGTGTTTTTGCCAAGAAAACGCCTAGACTAATCAATAACAAATAATCTGTGCCTAAACCCAAAAAATAGATAAAGGACAGATCGAACCAACAATCTTATAGTAAACGCCCTTACGATCGAAACAATTTGATAACCTTAATATTGAAGGAATTTTTACAGAAAATAAAAAAAATTAATAAGCCTGGGAAATTTTTAGTTTAAATATTAAAGGCGTTTCTTGTGACAACGCCTTCATTAATCTCATATAATTTTTTATTACGTGATTATTGAAGGCGTTGTCTGCCAAAAATACGCTTTAACTATTCATCAAAACTTTTAATAAAAAATATTCAAGGCATTTTAGTCGAGAAACGCCTCTAATATCAAGTCTTGGGTGGCGTTTATAAGTAACAACGCTGCTATTTGAATATTTAGTGGTGTTTGGATAATAAACACCTAAAGTTTTATAAAAACACGAAAGCTAGCAACATTTGTAAGTGAAAAGCCACTACAAAACTGCCGCTAAAATGCCATTTTGCTGTAGTGTGAGCAATCTAGTTTTGTTAAATCTCAAAAATTACAGAAAGCTTTCCAGTCTCCCAAGCAGCATAGATGGGTGTAAATGTCTAAAAACTCTTAATCTCTTAGGCTGTTCTAGAATAGAAAATTTGCCAGAGAATTTGCAGCATGTAGAATTATTGGAAGAGCTTGATTTAAGTAAAACTGCCATAAGAAAACCACCATCCTTCATTTTTCAATTTAAAAATCTTAAAGTCTTGTCGTTCAAGGGGTTGCAAAGGACCACCATCTAAATTACGACCAAATCTGCCTTCTCTTTTCAAGGTATTGCAAAGCGGAAGTATGGATTCCATGGCTCTAACGTTACCTCATTTGTCAGGTCTGAGATCTTTGAAAGTGTTGAATCTAAGTGACTGCAATCTTTGGGAAGGGGCTGTTCCTAGTGATATTTGCTGTTTATCCTCTTTGGAAAGTCTAGATCATAGTAGTAATAATTTCATGAGCCAACCTGTAACTCTTAATCAACTTTCCAAGCTTCGTTTTCTAGTCTTGTCAGATTGCAAGCGGCTTAAATCAGTGCCTGAGCTTGTAACAAGCATGGAAGGAGTGTGCATAGATGGTTGCACTTCATTGGAAGTATTTGCAAATCCAACAATAGTAAGCGATTCATCAATAGATGGGGCATTTTTTTTTGTACTAATTGCTACAGATTATCCAAGAATAGCAATGCATTAACAATGCTAACAAATTTTGTTAAGGTTGGTATCTCTGACTCACACTAAATCTCACACTCGAAGAGTTTATGCTATTAAGATAAGTTGCCAAACAACGGGAGTTTTGTTTTTTAGGTATTAAGATAATGCAAGACCATTTTCTTTGGATACTGTGATCAAGTGGAAGCCAAAGGAGGTGGTAGGTGGTGACGGAGAGTGATCTCGGTGATTAAAGCTGGTAATGGGTCGATGTGTGGGAATTTTCGAGTTTGGTTGATGGGAGGTTGTAACGGTGGATTCGGTGCTGTCTTTATAGGATTCAATCACTTTTTATTATGAATCAATTTCAGTAACGTAATTGCATAAATCAAGCACCAAAATTTCCTGTAACGTTTTTTTAAACTTTTTCCTTTTTTTTTTTTACAAGTAAAATTAAACAAAAATAAATAAATCAAATTAAAATTAAAATTTTTTTTATTGGGTCAAAGCTTCCCAATCGCATCCAATTAATAATTGAGAGTTCATTTTCGTCCAAAAAAAGTCATCCCGATAAAATAAGGTGTTTACATGCGTTTTCGTCTCTGCCTTCAATAATGATGCTTGGGAGGAGGAGGGAATCATGTGTAAAGCTATTATCAATGGTAGAAATTCTTAACAAGGCCATTGGAGTGGCTTTAATTTAGACAGAAAATATAGGCGGTAGAGGGTCGGGAACGGCCACCTTTGGCTACGTTATTTATCTCGTGACGTGATATTTCCCTTTTTCTCCAAGGACAAATATGATGAAATTGAGTTGTTAATCGAACCCACTCTAAGCCGCGTGTCCCAAGGTGAAGAAATGTGGGGTTCGAATAGTGTACAACAAAGATTTGGAAGAGATGGAAGAAATTCAAGACCAGCACAGCAGTCCAACAACTTCTGCAAATCTTGACGATATCCATCAAGATGGCGGTGATCATGGATCAACAGGGAATGGTGATGTCCTTGTAAAGCGAAAACGTAATATCTATGAGGAGGCAGGACCAAGTGATCAGAGTGACAGCCGGGAAGAGAGACCACAACCAAAACGGCGGCAAAAAGTTTTAAATTTTATAATGGAAAAGAAACATTCTGGTAAACTACTAAATACAAATCACTACTCTTTCTAGTAATTCATTTTTGCCAAACCTTTACACTGTTTGATTTTATTTAATTAATTAAATTTTTATACTACTGAAAACTTGGACATCAATGCATTCTTTTATTTATTTATTTGCATGGTATTGATAAAAAAAAATAAAAGAGGATCTAAGCTTTTGTCTAATTTGCATTATAATCTTTATTTTAACAAAGAATTTGCATTATATTTATGTGCTTTGTCTTTAGGTTGAATTATCAGGTGAAATAAATAGTTGGGACAAACTCCATAAAAAGGCAAGGCAAGAGGGTGAAACACCTTTGATGTCATTTGGCACATAATCATCTTATCTTTGTCATAATTAGAGTGTTTCAGTAAGTAAAATGCCAAATTTTGACTCGAGATCTTTTTTATATAATTGGAGAAAAGGAGATTCGAATCCTACATTTAATTTATGCGAAGGGATTCATATTGTTAGAATTATTAAAACTAAATTACACAGTATTTGTTTCCGTTCCTGTTGCTTATAGGCCTCATATATATGATTGGTTTTGCATTTAATATTGTTGTTTTGGTGTGATTGAGTGCTTGCTTTAATAGCATTTAAGTTGTGTGTGTGGTTTACAGGCCTCTAATAGCATTTAAATAGCTTTAATCCTGTGAATAAAAAAATCATCAAAATTGTTTTTGACACCATAAATTTTAGTTCTTTCGATTTTCAGTTTTGAGTTTGTTATTTATATTTTGTTCTCGTGCTTCAATAGTTTCTTGGATATTGTTGCCAATTTACAATACTTAACGCTATCCCATGAGTGTTGGGGCTTTCCTCTAGTGCATTGATGGTAACATTTGCAAATGTAAGGTTTTTGCACCCCTAAAAGGCTAATGTGAAACTGTTTGCTATTCAAAGAGGCTATATATCTAATGACTCCATTGCTGATGAAGTTGATTCTTATGTTCTGTCAAATTTTGAACCAGCAATTTTGTTATAACTGTAGAAGTAAAATACAAAAAAAAAAAAAAAAAAAAGAGGGCTATGATCTTTCAATGGGAAGTTTGATGCATTAGTCATTTTCTTTGCAATCATTTTGTGCCCAAGCAGTCTTTCCTGCTTGGCCATTAAAGGTTACAGAACCAGATAATATGAACTGATCGTTATGTTGGAAAGTAACCCTACTAGGCCTCATTATCGAATGTGGCTGAATCTGCTGGAGCCTTCAAAATTTTCTGTTAAACATGTTATCTGCTGCAGATGCAGCTTTCATTCCATTTTATACAAAAAAAAAAATACATTAGTTTCAACCACTTTAAGTACCACATAACATTTATCTGCCTTACTTTTCATAACATTAAGGATCAGCACAGCAATCAAAACTTTCTAATAGATCTGCTAGAGTTTAACTAAACTTATACAGAACATTACAAAATTCATTTTCACAAAATGACGGAAAAAAGACCATATCAGTACTTAACAAAGGCCTTAGAGGTTCACTTGGCTTATCTGATATGCCCCATTCAGATTCACAATTTTACTTGGATTCGCCAATGCACAGGCTTCTTTCCAAACACTCAGCAATGCCTGACAAGACAATAAATAAAACTCTATTTTTCCAGAAATTATCCATAGTAAATGTTTCATCAAGGTTATCCGTGGTATAAGCTGATACCTGGTTGATATCAGATGGGCCATCCACCTTTGCGCCATAGTTGTCACCTCAAAAACGCCAATGCTGGACTGCGCATTAGCATTAGATGAAAACGAAAAAGCAAGCAGAGAGCTAAAATACTCAACTTCACAGCCATCTGTTTTCTTTCTTTCTTTATTGTTTTCTAAATAGGTTTTGATGGAATGCTGGGATTCCATTTCAGTTTGAAGCAAAATTTATACTGCAAAAACTCACTTCCACTTAATGCCTCAAAACTTTTGGCTCAGCAGTTCAATTTTTTTACTGTAATTAGTTTCGTTTCAATGCTAAATACTAAATGCCTTCTCTGTCTGTCAATATTCCATCCTGGAATTTTTTCTGGGGGAGAGGGTTAATCTGCCAAAGATAGAGAGAGGTTCATAATACATAGTTGTTTATATTACATTAGGCTCTGAAACCTTACATAATACATAACTGTTTATATTAGTTAGGCTCAGAAATCTTACATAACAACAGACCAATTTACAGAATTATTCCAGAACAGAATTAGAAACATCTCCATAGTAAGCAGAAGCAGTAGTAACAGCAGCAGGCACTAAGTGCTAGATTTCAGTGGGAATTCCTCTTCTGAAGCCACGGGAAGCTCCTCATATGCCACTGATTCTTGGAATCTCTTTGGAAGGACACAACGACCACCAAAGCGCTGTTGCAAGTATATGATTGCAGCAAAGAACAGGCCCAACACAGGAATAATGAAGTCCCAAGCAGTTGAGTAATAATCTGCAGAAGGATCCGCATATATGTATGAGTCATCTACATCAACATAATTGTGTGCCCTGTATAGATCATATCCGTGGGGTACAAGGCGAACAAGGGTAATTCCAATGTAAAAGAAGCGAGAAAGAGCCTGTTCCCTTGAGTTCTGGAAAATGTTGAAGAGGATTTGGGGGAAAAGAAAGGCATCAAGAATCAAACCAGCATAAGCCCTTGAACCAACCAAAAAGATCTGCTCTCTGTCGTATGGAGAATACCTTCCGGTGTCAACTAGATTCTTCCTCCACTTCAAGAAGAAAGCGATTAAACCCCCGGATATGTACACTGGAAAACACACGTAGAGCCCCCTCTTCTCTGCAATCCACAAGGCCTTTTTCTTTTCATTAGAGCATCTGGCAGTCCATGAGAACATCAGAAGACGGATATGAAGCAGAAATGCCACCATTGTGACAACCCTAATGATCACCTCGTTCATTTCTAGCCAAGTTCCTCCTCTAAACCAGACAGATCTTTCACTATCTTGATCGAACATTGCTTCAAGATTTAGAACTAAAGGGATTAAGTGTCCCAGGGCTAGAATAACAAGCATGAGAAATGAAATGAAAGGACAAACGCCAGGGTGCTTCCGCCCGTGAATGATTTGTAGTACTATAAAGACAATTGCAAGAGTGTTGGATATGACAGACATGATGATCTCGACATCCATTCTCCAAATTGATTCCATTGCCCATCTGCCATAATAAGCTCTTCCTGTAAAGGGCAAAGGTCCAAAGTGAAAGTGGTCAGTGTTTTGCCGCATGCTCTTAATGCTTCCCCCGATCTTACTTCCTTTCCTGTCTGAGTTCAATGGAGGAAAATGAATATTCACAAGAATATCGCAGTCCACTGAATGCTTTAAAGATGCCTTGTTTTCTGCCCTCAGGTCTCTGCAGCCAACCATGCACAGATTACCTGTTTCAGCATCATAAACTCCTTCTGCAGATATTTGGATTTCTAGATATCCATTCAAAGATTGGTTAAATGGATTGAGGCCAGTATCCAATTTGAAACTAGATAGCGTGATGCTCATTGTGTAGCTGATATTAAGCAAGCTACCGTTATCATTTTTAGGCCTTGAGCTTGAGGATGGTCTTAGAAAGGGAAATCTCTGATAAGGCTGATCGCCCACTGCAAGAGGATTTGATGAACCCCATCCAATTCCTCCTTTGGAACCTTTGATGATTGACATACTAAAACCCATGTCTCCAGAATAGCCGTCTGGGTACTGTTCCCCGCTGTTCCTTGTAGTTTTCTTCTTTGGGCATAACTTACTCACTTTGTTAGTTTTCATGTACTCATACTTCAAACCTTGAAGTTGAATTCCCCCACTACTATGGTCAGTTTTTCGGATCACGATTCTATCAAAGAAACCGGATTCATTCCTATGCTTCTCACTCCAAATTTCACCAACAACAGTACTTGTGTTTCTGATAGACAAGACTGCTGGGAATCTCAAGCTCAACCTTGTTGTGCAGTCTCCAACATGAGACTTCTCCAAGGAGCTTGATGCATCATAGATTCGGCAAGCAACAATACAAAGCTGATTCTTCTTTGCATCCCAAGATCCTTCCCCAACTAATGATGTGCTGAAATTGAAAGAGCTATAATACCCTCTATAGCTACTGTTAGGAAATTCTATCAGAAACCTCAACTTCAGCTTCATATCCTGATCCGAGCACTGAATCATTCTCAAAGACATGACCTGAGGCAAATATCCAATACCATTACCAAATGGACCGCAACTCTTTGAAGAATCACAACCACTTGCATACTCCAGTTCAAAAGCATTGCCTCCAGCTAAAATTATATCACAAATAGTTGTAGTCAGCGATAAGCTAAGGGATAAATCCTCTGGAACATCAGTCGCCCCCGGACAACCTTGACTAAATTGTTTTGAAACCATGGTGTAGTTGTAATTTACTTGAGGAAACATCAGCAGAGAAATTTGGTCAAAGTAATTTGGTTCATCAGCAGGATACAAGCTATCCATGGTTCCAGTGACTAAAGTATTGATAGTACTGGAATTCTTAAGATTATTAAGCTTAAGAACAGCTGCAAGATGAAGCAGTTTACCTTCTTTTGAGTAAGTATAGCTTGATCCCACCATGCAAAGCTTTCCGGTAGTTCTAGACCAGAAGCCTTGAAAATCAAAGTCCAGAGCTCCACTATCACTTGAATGTGAATAGAATGACCAACCATGGGAGAAACTGCGTTCGTAGTAATACGAGCTTTGGAAGATCAGGTTTCCTTTCACCTTGAAGACATCCTCAACATCAGTTGTATATACGTGGTGAGTTTCGAAAACTAGAACTTTCGATACAGGTGGATAATACTGATTTGAGCTGGGATTCAGGAATTTATCCCCACCACTATAATATCCTGTTAAGAAAATGGGGTCCAGTCCCATGTAAGTGGTTTTGGACCAAGTAAAGGCCATGGGCCTTGATCTTTTATTTTACACAGAGCCCTAGCTACTTAATAAAAAGAGGTGGGGTTGTTTAAGGTGTGTGTCGACAACCAAGCAGAGAAAGAAGAAAAGCCAGGAAAAGCAGAGAGAGAAAAAGGAGAAGGGAGAGTTGGTTAAACGGAAGTCGATCCGTAGTCCGATTGAGTTGAAACCTTGTCAGGAGGTTTATGATTCAGAGTTATACATTCTGAACGGTGAAGATCGGGTTTGAAGCTCTCTAGGAACAAATCCAGGGTGTATTTGTTGAGTCACTTATTTGGTGAGATTTCTCCAATTGTTTCTCTAGTTGTTGATTAGCTCTAGTTTTAGCTAGAGAAGAACTTTGTATAACTATTATTTGATAATGAAGATTTTTCTGGTGGCCCGTGATTTTTCCCTCTACACTGGAGGGTTTTCCACGTAAATCTTGGTGTGCTTTATTTTTCCTGCGCATTTGATTATTGATTGTTGTCTATTGCTTCTGTATTGTTGTGATTATTGCTTCAGGCGCAACAAGTGGTATCAGAGCGAGGGTTATTTTGAGACATCGATACAAAAGCAACCCAGGATAGAAGTAAATTCTGTTTGAGATCATGGAGGGTGATACAGGTTCCATGATAAAATTGACAGCATCAAATTATTCAATTTGGAAGCCTATGATGGAGGATCATCTATACTGCAAAGATTTGTATGAGCCAGTATTGGGTGATTCGGCTAAACCAGCAGATATGAAAGATGAAAGCTGGAAGAAGCTAGGTAGAAAGACGCTGGCTACAATCAGAAAATGGGTTGATATCAGCGTGTTTCATCATGTAGCGCAGGAGTCAGATGCTCACATTGTTTGGGAAAAATTGGCAGCATTGTATGAGAGAAAAACAGGTATGAATAAAGTTATGCTTGTTAAGAAGATTGCAACTTTACAGTACAGGGATGGACGATCTGTTACAGAGCACTTGAGTGATTTTCAAGATATATTTAATCGGATGACTACTATGAAACTTAAGATGGATGATGAAATGAAGGCATTATTTCTTTTGGGTTCATTGCCAGACAGCTGGAATACTCTAGTTGTGACTGTTCTTAATTCAACTCCTGATTATAAGGTGACATTGGAGATGGTAAAGGACAGTATGCTTAATGAAGAAGCGAGGCGAAAAGATGTAGACCCTGGGAATCAAGCTCTGGTCACAGAGAACAGGGGTAGAAACATCGACAGAGGTCAGGACTCAAAAGGCCGTGGTAAGTCTAAACATAGATCCAAGTCTAGAGGTAAAGTGAAGTGTTTCCATTGTGGTAAGGCGGGTCATATAAAACGAAACTGTAGAATCTTAAAGCAAGAGCGAAAAGATGAGAAAGGCAAGAGTTCAGATGATGGCAATGTTGCAGCAGTGAATTCAGATAGTGATTCAGTTACTTTGATTTGTACACATGGTGATTGTAATCATGTTAGTGATCCCGACATTGAGTGGATAGTTGACACAGGAGCGGCATATCATTGTGTTCCTAAGAGAGAGTTGTTTACAACTTACAAAGCAGGAGACTTTGGTTGTACCAAGATGGGAAACAAGAGTGTGTCACAGATTGTTGGGATTGGTGATATTGTTGTACAAACTAGTACAGGCTGCATGTTGACTTTGAGGGATGTCAGACACATTCCAGATATGAGAATGAACTTGCTTGCTATTAATGTCCTTGATAAGGAGGGATATGAAAGCCGACAAAAGAATGGACAGTGGAAGCTTCTCAAAGGATCTATGGTAGTTGCAAGGGAAAAACTATGCTGCACAATATATAAGACATGGATGCAATTGAACGGTAACCAGGTAAATACCGTTGAAAATGATGCTTCAGCAAACTTGTGGCACAGGAGGCTGGCACACATGAGTGAAAAAGGGTTACAGGTTTTGGCAAGGCACTCTCTCATTCCCTTGACCAAAGGTATGTCTCTCGATTCATGTGATTATTATTTGTTTGGTAAGCATCATAGAGTTTCTTTTCGTAAAAGTTCTCAGAGAAAAGAAAATAGATTGGAATTAATTTATTCTGACGTATGTGGTCCCATTGAGGTTGAGTCATTAGGTGGTAGCAGATATTTTGTTACTTTTATTGATGATGCTTCACGTAAGACTTGGGTGTATATGTTGAAATATAAAAGTCAGGTACTGTAGTATTTTCAAAAATTTCATGCCATGGTTGAAAGGACGACAAGGTTACCCTTGAAGTGTATTCGAACTGATAATGGTGGGGAATACACATCTAAAGGCTTTGAAGAGTATTGCTCAAAGCATGGGATCAGGCATGAGAGGACAGAACCTAGAACACCGCAGCATAATGGTATAGCTGAAAGAATGAATCGCACCATTGTGGAAAAAGTCAGATGTATGTTGAGGATGGCAAAATTACCAAAGCCATTCTGAGGTGAAGCGGTCAACACAGCTTGTTATTTACTTAACAGGTCACCATCAGTTCCTTTGGGCTTTGACATTCCAGAAAGAGTGTGGACAGGGAAAGATGCTTCATACTCTCACTTGAAAGTTTTTGGGTGTAAAGCATTCATGCATGTACCAAAAGAGCAGAGGTCAAAGCTTGATAGTAAAGCTACACAGTGTGTGTTTGTAGGATATGGTGATGAGGAATTTGGCTACAGGGTATGGGATCCAGTAAAGAGAAAGACAGTCAGAAGCAGAGATGTGGTCTTTCATGAAAAAGAAACCATAGCAGACCTTGAGAAAAATGAGAAGACTACACGAGTTACTGTTGAGTGTGATGTTTCAACACCGACAGGGATTTCACAAGAAAGAGCCACAGATGGTGAAAATGAGCCAGAAACAGAACTTGGGGATATGGATGAGCCAGCTACAGTTGGTGATGAGCCAGATGCTATTAGTTTTGAGCAGGGGGAGCAATCCTCTCTACCTGAGAGTGTTGAGCAGGGGGAGCTACTTTCGGCATCAAGTGATGTAGAGTCTCAGCCTAGGAGATCTACTAGAGAGCGCAGGCCATCTACCAGGTATCCAAGTTCAGATTTTATTTTAGTTACCAGTGAAGGAGAGCCAGAAAGCTTTCAAGATGTGCAGGCTACTCCGGATAGAGAGCACTGGTTAAAAGCAATGAAAGAAGAGATGGAGTCATTGCGAAAGAATGGTACTTATGATCTTGTTAAACTTCCAACAGGGAAGAGGCCATTAAAGAATAAATGGGTGTTCAAGTTGAAAAAGGATGGTGACAAACTAGTGAGGTACAAAGTTCGATTGGTAGTAAAAGGTTTTTCTCAGAAACCAGGCATCGATTTTGATTAGATTTTTGCTCCAGTTGTAAAAATGAGTTCTATTCGAGTGGTACTAGGATTGGCAGCTAGTTTGAATCTTGAGCTTGAGCAACTTGATGTTAAAACTGTATTTTTGCATGGTGATTTACAGGAGGACATTTATATGAATCAGCCTGAGGGTTTTGAAGTGAAAGGGAAAGAGCACTTAGTTTGCAAATTGAAGAAAAGCTTGTATGGCTTGAAACAAGCTCCACGACAGTGGTACAAGAAGTTTGATTCTTTTATGGTGAGTCATAGCTATAAAAGAACAGCAGCAGATTCTTGTGTGTATGTTAAACAATTCCCTAATGGTAACTTCATTATCCTATTATTATATATTGATGATATGTTGATTGTAGGACAAGATGCTAGTATGGTTTGCAGGTTGAAAGAACAATTGTCTAAGTCTTTTGATATGAAAGATTTAGGTCCAGCAAAGCAGATTCTTGGTATGGACATTATCCGGGATAGGAGAGCTGGAAAGCTGTGGTTGTCACAAGAAAAGTATGTTGAACGAGTGCTTGGTAGATTCAACATGCAACATGCTAAATCAGTTAGTAGTTCACTTGCCAACCATTTTCACCTAAGTAAGAAATCTTGTCCAGTGTCTAAGGAAGAGCAACTAGCTATGTCTAGTATTCCTTATTCTTCTGCAGTCGGTTCTTTAATGTATCTTATGGTTTGTACAAGGCCTGACATTGCTCATGCAGTTGGTGTAGTGAGCAAATTTCTTTCTAATCCAGGAAAGGTTCACTGGGAAGCAGTGAAATGGATTTTTAGATATTTGAGGGGTACCTCAAAAATGTGCTTGACTTATGGAGTTTCACAACTAGTTCTAGAAGGGTTTACTGATGCTGACATGGCAGGCGATCTTGATGGTAGGAAATCTACTTCAGGGTATTTGTTCACTTTTACAAGAGGAGCTGTATCTTGGCAGTCTAAGTTGCAGAAGTGTGTTGCTTTGTCAACTACAGAGGCTGAGTATATTGCAGCAACTGAAGCATGTAAAGAAATGCTTTGGATGAAACGTTTTCTTCTTGAATTAGGGTTGAATCAGAAAGAGTATGTGGTATTTTGTGATAGCCAGAGTGCTTTAGATTTGAGTAAGAATACCATGTACCATGCTAGAACAAAGCACATTGATGTTAGATATCATTGGTTACGTTCAGTGATTGAAGAACAGCAGATGCTATTGAAGAAAGTTCATACTGATAAAAATGTGGCAGATATGTTGACTAAGATACTTCCCAGGGAAAAGCTTGAGCTTTGCAGTAACTTGGCCGGAATGAGTTCCCTGGCCAAGGTAAGTTCCAAATGAAACTGCTATGGTGATGAATCTCCTCCTAATGAGGCTGGAGGGGGAGATTGTTAGGAAAATGGGGTCCAGTCCCATGTAAGTGGTTTTGGACCAAGTAAAGGCCATAGGCCTTGATCTTTTATTTTACACAGAGCCCTAGCTACTTAATAAAAAGAGGTGGGGTTGTTTAAGGTGTGTGTCGACAACCAAGCAGAGAAAGAAGAAAAGCCAGGAAAAGCAGAGAGAGAAAAAGGAGAAGGGAGAGTTGGTTTAACGGAAGTCGATCCGTGGTCCGATTGAGTTGGAACCTTGTCAGGAGGTTTATGATTCAGAGTTATACATTCTGAACGGTGAAGATCGGGTTTGAAGCTCTCTAGGAACAAATCCAGGGTGTATTTGTTGAGTCACTTATTTGGTGAGATTTCTCCAATTGTTTCTCTAGTTGTTGATTAGCTCTAGTTTTAGCTAGAGAAGAGCTTTGTATAACTATTATTTGATAGTGAAGATTTTTCTGGTAGCCCGTGGTTTTTCCCTCTACACTGGAGGGTTTTTCACGTAAATCTTGGTGTGCTTTATTTTTCCTGCGCATTTGATTATTGATTGTTGTCTATTGCTTCTGTATTGTTGTGATTATTGCTTCAGGCGCAACATATCCGTCCTGACGGTCAGCGAATGGGATGATATTGAACTCCTCTTCAGCTGGTTTTGATTCATGAACTACTGAATCACAGTGATGCCTATAACTAAATTGAGTTTCAGTCCCAGAGATCATGTTCAGATAGAAGAAAAAGGAGATGAAAAACAGGAAGAAAGCATGAAAAAAAGGAAGTTTTGATGAAGCAGAGAATATGGAAGAATCCATAACTATGGGCTTGAATTTCTTCAGACAACAATATTGTGAGGTATAACTTATAGCAAACTCGGCAGTGAGGTGAACATAAATAGCTCTATATCTCTCACCGGGCCCTGAGGACCAAACTAGGAAGTTTCCTAGTTTAAGAGCTTTGGAAAAAATTGCCACTTTGACTTGACTGAAAATGAGCGATGGATAAGTCTTTTAACAAAATTATGTCACTGTAGTAAGCCATTTTTTCTACCTTGCAGTTAATACAAAAGAAGTGATTGATCAGATCACATACAAAATGAACAAAAGAAAGATGATATTCATTTTGGTTCTATCGAGACAAGCCTTAGGATGTATGTGGGATCCTGATGTATTGAAAAGACACAATTAACTCACCATTTCAGCAGGTTGATTATGATTTTTGAGTACCCTTCTCAATTTTGGTTAACTGAATCTGGTAAATTGTTTTCAGATGAAAATGATTTTGGGACGTTATACTAATCATCTTGATTAAGATTTTATTAAGTGCTTGCTCTTCCTAATCTTGGTTGGGACCAATGAACTGACAGCAACGTGGTTAACTCATTAAATATCTTTGAAACTTGATGTTGTTTGTGGATCTTGTAAAGATTGTCAAAGGTATAAACAATAACGACGACCAAAAAATTGGAACCAATCCTATCAGTTCAAATATGGTTAAGGAACGTCTGGAGTCTTCCTTCGTGCTGTGCTTTTTCCATACGTTTTGTGGAAATTTATTCAATGTTTTAATCCAATAATGATGTTTGTTTTATGCATAGGAGTCTATGTCAATCAGAATACAGTCACTTTTTTCATGTTTGGGGTCCAACAAGTGGAAGTGAAGAACACGGCAAAGAAGATGCAAAATAAACTTTGGCCCGGTCTTGGGTTTGAAGACTTTTCTATGGGGGTCCTACGGTTGACTTGAACTAGAGATGATGGAAATTTCTGCTAACCAGTAAGACTTTGAGTATATTACCAAATCATTGATTTTTAGATAGCTGAATCATGTCCACAATGCTTTCACTGTGTGGAAACCACAATTTACTCTTAACTTCATTCAGGGACATTAACATTTTTTGGTCCCTCATTCCCCACATATATGAAGGAAGGGAAAAGGTCAAATTACAACTGTCAGAGAAGACATTCTTGAGAAGCGAATGCTTGAAGTTTTCAGTTATCATTTTAGTTCAAGAAAATCATTAAGAAAAAAGCTATAGGAAAAAGTTGCAAAAATTTTCATTCAATCTTTCATGGTTTATTTCTTTTTTTAGGTAGATACCGCCAGAAGTGGAGGAAAATTTTTTTTATCAATGAAACTTGAATTAAGATACATCAAGTATGTAAAATCAAGCAAAACAACAATTCTGCAATTAATTTTGTTGCAAAAGCTGTGCTGATATAGCCCTTAAGGCCTTGGTTCCATGGATCCACAAGTGGCTAAAATTAAAGGAGGTACATGGATAAGAGAGACAAATAAATTGCCTTTTTGTTCCATTTATTAACTTATTTTTATCAGCTAAATCCTCTAATTTAGTTAGATGGATTCCATTCCACATCCAGGGAAACAAACAGCATATTAAGAACTAAAATTCTAAAGGAATTATGACTCACTGACCACTGGGATTTTTTCAAAGCCTTCTAGCCCTCTAAATCTCCTCGGAAGAATGCAACGACCACCAAATCGCTGCTGCAAGTACATGATAGCAGTAAAAAGCAGAACACCAAGGGAGATAATAACATCCCAAGCAGTGGAGAAAAAATCCTCAGCAGGATTCTCATAAATGTATGTTCCTTCATATTGAACATAGCCGTGATCACAATAAAGATCATACACATGTGGCAGCAACCGAACAAGACTCATGCCAATATAGAATGAGGGGCTAAGTGCATTTTTTCTTGAGTTTGAGAACATATTAAGCAGTATCTGAGGCAGAAGAAAACTATCTGAGATTAAACCGGCATAAGATTTCAAGTCATCCCAAGTGGAACGCTGCCAGTAGTCAACAGGACGAGTAGGAAGCAACACAACCTCACGTCTGTAGTTTCCCCTATCGACAAGCATAACAATGAATGCCCCAGAAGCATACAACGATGCTGTCACAAGCAAGGTCATTTTCTCAGCAAACCATAGGCCCTTTTGGTTTCCATCATTTGATCTACCTGAAAATGCTAGCTGGAGAATACGTAATAGCAACAAGAGAGCTACCATTGAAATTATCCTTACAATTACCTCATTCACTTCAATCCATCCTCCAGTTTGAAACAAGACAGTATCCTGATCATGTTTTTGTGAGAACAAGGCTTCATAGTTAAGCACAAGAGGAATCATTTGGCCCATGGTAAGGAACACAAGCATAACAATGGAAATAAAAGGGAGTGTTTCCATATGCCTCTTCACATGATAAAGCTGATATCTCACAAATAGACATTTAAGTGTTTGAGATATCAGAACCATGGCAATCTCAAGATCCATGGTCCAAATGGAATGTCTTGCTTGCTCCCCGATGTAAGCAACTGAAGTAACATCTAGATGATCAAAGTAAAGAGGATCATATGTCTTCCGTGTGCTTTCAATTCTTCCCCTAATATACCCTCCATTTTCAAACTGTTTCACCGGAACAAGTTGGAAGTTCAGAAGAATTTCACAGTCCAGAGAAGCATTTTCTGGCACTTGATTGATTGATGCAAGCTTTCTGCAGCCTACCATACACAAGCCTCCGGTGTCTGCATCATAAATCCCTTCAGCAGTAATCTCCACTTTCTCATCATGTAGCATAGATAAATAACCTCCAGCAGTCAACTTTGGAGGAGTGTACAGTCTGATGTCTATCTCGTAGCTAATATTGGTTTGGCCCTGAGATTCCCACCTTGTAGGCCTTATAGATGAAAATTCTAAGACATTAATAGCAACTACTTGGCTACTCTGCTTGTAAAACTGATTACCAACAGTTAGAGCAACCGCAGAACCCCATCCAGTTTTCCCTTCAGAATTTCTAACTGACATGTCAAACTTCATATCGGAAGAGTCGGGACTAGGGTATCTTTGTCTCTTGTTTCTGTCAAGTTTCTTTACCGGGCATAAATTCCTTACTCTGTCAGTTTCAGTGTATTCATACTTCAAACCATGTAAGGCCTCCACACTATTCTTGGTACTTCGTAACACAATTCTATCAAAGTAACCTGAATCATTCACAGTTTTGTTGGTCCAAATTTTCCCCATTATGCTGCTAGTCTCTTTGATTGACCAGATTGCAGGGAACCTCAAGCTTAACCTTGTTGTGCAATCTCCAACATGAGCATTAGACCAAGAGTCTGTTATGTCCAAAAATCGGCAAAGAAAAACACACAGCTGATTCTTCTTATCATCCCACATTCCTTCTCCAATCAATGTTGTGTTAGGATTGAAAGGCTGGTAGAACCTGAAATTGCTATTATCTTGAAATTTTAGGATAATGCGAACTCTCTTTGGAACATCTGTACAATTAATGATATCTAAATACCCAGAACCAGGCAAATTCCTGACCACCCCATCAAAAGGGAGGCAGTTCTTCTTAGAGCTGCAGCCTGTGTACTGCAAATGAAATACTTTTGCAAGGCTTGAGAATTGAGAACAAAAAGCGCTTCCTCGCAGTACATTGAATATTGGCAAATTCTTTTTAGCATCACTTTCACCAGAAAATTCACCCATAGAATCTCCAGACACAAAGCTCAACTTGTAATTCAAATGTGGAAGCATGAACACGGAAATTGGTTCAAAATAACTCTTATCACTGCTAGGACTCAAACTCTCTAAAGTTCCAGTAATCAAAGTAGTGATGCTACTCGAATTCTTAATATTTTGAAGCTTAAGGACAGCAGCAGGGCTAAGCAGATTACCTTCTTTTAAGTAAGCAGAACCTGTTCCAACCATACAAAGTTTCCCGGATGATTCTGACCAGAAACCATGCAGTTTCAAATAGAATGGATTTCTAAAATCAGCAGCTACTGGCCTGCGAGATGTGAGGATTGAATTTTTTGATGTTCCACTTCCATTTGAGATGCTTCCCACATGAAATGGACTTTGGAACTCCAAGCTTCCTTCAACCATGAACACGCCGTCTTTATCAGTTTTGCTCACCACGCTGGTGTAAAATGAGAATGAATTTGTGTACCTGGTTATGTTTGCACTGACAATTCTAATTCCATCAGAGTTGTAAAAACCAGATTGGTAGTGACCAAATGGACCAAACTCATACGAGGGAGACTCAGAGTTGGGGACCGATGCAGGGACAATTAAAGAACAATGATCAGAATAAGAGTCTATTGCAGATGAGACAGGTTTTACTGAAAAACAAATGCACAGCAAGAAAATTTTGAGAGTAAATAGCCATAGCATCATTGAAGGTTTCATTGCCCTCGTAATTTCAAAGAAGGAACAATCAGTTTTTGATGTGTAAATGAAGTTGTGATACATATCGGAAATGAATTTTCTGAATTGTTCACTTTTCAAGTTTTCAATTTTATTCTAGAATGGATAAAGACAGCATCAAAAGTCAAGAAAGTCATTGAAATTTCCCCAAGTGGGATGGCTTTTTCTCCTTGTATGCTTTTTCTTTACAGGCCGGCATTGTCACTTTGCTGAAAACACTATTTTATTTTTGCTGGAAACTGCTATACTATGCCAAGGAGGCTTTGGTGGAATTGGATAGAAAGCAATTATTAAGAAGTTTAAAAAAATTTTATGATTCAGATAAATCATGAAAAAACCAATTAACAGATGACTAAAACATGGAAAGATGTTCAACATTATTATTCATAGTCTTTCTTTAATTACTTCTGTTTAAGAACTTTGTTTACCTTTTTACCAGGTCAAAGCTTGGAAAGTTATAAAGTAAATACCAAGGTGCAACAAATGGATAATAGAACAAAACAAAATTGCCTAGTCAAATGCTATTTGGCATCAACTACATGGATTTTAATATTTAATTCTTAAAAAACAAGGTTTCTTTGGAAAGAATAAGATGAGATTAAGCTTCCTATGCAAATAATATTTCTCATTTCTTTAGGTTTCAAGCATGCATTTTTTACTTACCAACTGGAGAAAAAAAAAAAAAAAAAAAAAAAAAAACCTCTTTTAACTGCCTAGCAGTGCCCTCTTTAGTGTTCAATGAATAATTTGTGAATGAATATCTGACTTGACTAGGGCCATCCTTTCAATCTAGTTATTAAAACTACCCCATATTTGCTCCATACTCCATAAATACCATTATTGAGAGGTTGGTACTTAACAACAGTCATTCTAGGAATTGAGTACACTTGAGACTATTGGTGATCCGAACTCTGCATCTGATATCATTTAGCTGTAACTGTTATTTTACGTGAAATTATCTTGTGAATATGGTGAAAATCCATTATTTGTATCATCTTGTAAAAGCATTGTGTTTCAATATTAAGTTTATACTTACTATTAGCCAATGTGTTTTATTCACTATCACAAGAAAAGTTACAAGCCAAAAACCAAAGAGAGAAACTAGATTTTTCTGTGCATTCAGAAGTGTCAAAATCACCAGTGGTTTATAAAAGAAACTATTGAATTGCTACCAGTTAAGTACTAAAGTTACATCTTGATCCCACTTATGCTTTTTCTTGTACAAATATATCAGATTGACCGTACAACTTTCCTTTTTTCAGCTCAAAATAATTTGAAAAACGGTAGCAACGAAGAAATACTGAATCAGGCACTCATTTTCTTTGGTCTTGATGATTCACTTACAAATGGGACCTCCTCCGGATATGTTTCCAACTCTCTAAGTCTAGAGGGAAGAATGCAATGACCACCAAACTTCTGCTGAAAGTAAATGATTGCAGCAAGCAGCAGGAGCTCCAGAAGCATAATGACATCCCAAGCAGCAGAGAGAAAATCTTCGTCATGATTCACAGAAAAGTGTAATATGTTATAGAGAACATAACTGTGGCCACGATAAAGATCATATGCTCGTGGCAGCAAGCGAACAAAAGTGGTTCCAACATAGAATGAACAACTGAGAGCATTCTGTTTTGAGTTTGAGGACATATTGAGGAGTATCTGAGGCAAAAGAAAACTGTCTAAGAGTAAATCTGCAAATGATTTTAAGTCATTGCAAATGGGACGATGCTGGTACTCTATAGAAGAAGAGAGGAGTAACGTATCCTCTGGTCTGTACTTCTCCGAGGCGACAAGCAGAGTAATTTTGGCACCAGCAGCACATAGATACGCAATCACAACTAGGGTCATTTCCTCAGCAAACCACAAGCACTTTTGGTTGCTATCATGTGATCTAGCTGAAATTGTTAACTGGAAAAGGCGTAGTAGCAATAAGAAAGCAACAACCATAACTACTGTCACAATCACTTCATTTAATTCAAACCATCCATCACCATGAGACAAAACCTTGTCTTGATCTTGCTTATTTGAGCACAAGGTTTCAAAGTCTAACACAAGAGGAATCATGTAGCCCAAGGTAAGGATCACAAGCATAACAAGTGAAATCAAAGAGAGCACTTTTGGGTTTTTCTTCACATGATAAAGCTGCAATCCTACGAAGAAGCATACTAGTAAGTTAGATATTAAAACCATTTTAGTCTCAAGATCCATCGTCGGAACTGATCTTCTTCCCTGATCGGTTTTGTAGGCAGCTGAAAACACATCGAGACGATCAAAGTAAAGAGGATCAGATTCTTTTCTTGTACTTTCAATGCTTCCCGTGATATCTCCTCCATTTTTATTTGGCTCTAATGGAGCAAGCTGAAAGTTCAAAAGAATTTCACAGTCCACAGAAGCATTTTCGAACACTTGATTGTTAGACCCCAACTTTCTGCAACCAACCATACACAACTTTCCAGTTTCAGAATCATAAACCCCTTCAGCAGTAATCTCCACTTTCTCTTCATTTAGATAAGAAAAATAAACTCCATCAATTGCATTGGTAGGAGTTTGCAATGTGATGCTCGCCACATAGCTAACATTGATAGGCCTACTTTCTATCCAGCTTGCAGGCACCGCTCTTTCAAACATGAAGCTAGGAGGAGCATTTGGATACAAATACTGCTTGTATAACTGGTCACCAATGGCGAGAGGAACTGCCATACACCATCCATATTTTCTTTCAGAATTTTTAAGTAACACGCCAAATTTCATATCAGTGGAATGGCCACTTGGATATCTTTCTCCCATAAATTCTTTACTCTGTCAAATTCAGTGTATTCTTACTTCTTACCTGGAACCCCCTTCAAATGATTCTCAGTACTTCGGAATAATATCCTATCAAAGTAACCAGAATCATTTGCAGCTTTTGTGGTCCAAATTTTCCCCATTGCCCTGCTAGTCTCTCTTATAGACAAGATTGCAGGGAACGTAAAGCTCAACCTTGTAGTGCAATCACCAACACGAGCATCAGACCAAGATTCTCTGATGTCTAAAATTTGGCAAACAGAAACGAACAGCCGATTCTTCTTATCATCCCATTTTCCTTCTCCAATCCATGTTGTGTTGGGATTGAAAGGTAGGTAGTTTCCAACATGCTATTATTTCTAAATTCTACCAAAGCCTGAATTCTCTTTTGAGCCTCTGCACACCTAATGCTCGTAAAAGACAGAAAACGAGGTAAATAGCCAATCAGCTAACCAAAAGGAAGGCAATTCTTCTTTCCTGAGCTGCAGTCACTCGAGTATTGCAACTTAAATACAGTTACAGAGCTTAATATTGAGCAAAAACTTCTACTTGGAAGCACATTGAAAGGCAAATTCTGGTCAGTATCACTTTAAGCAGAAAACTCATCCACAGACTCTCTGGAATCAAAAGTGCACTCATAATTCAATCGAGGAAACATGATTATGGAAACTGGTTCAAAGTAGTTCACCTCATCACTAGAACTTAGACTCTCTAAAGTTCCAGTAATTAAAGTAGTGATATCTGTTAGTGTGTTAGTGGTTGAAGCAACTAGGTATGGCATTTCTACTGGCACTTTTGTAATAGGCTCTGCCATCTGATCAGTTTAGGTAACATAATGGATCTGTGCATGGTGATCCATACTATTAGGCAAACAACTCTTGTAGTAGTTAAACAAACTTTTGTATATTAAAGCCTATATATTAATGAAATGAAGCTCATGATCTGCAGAGCCAATTTACTTCAAGTGACAGATTAGTTTCTTCTGTTTTTTTGTTCTTCCTCTGCTCTAAATCCTTCAATTGGTATCAGAGCATTCTTTAAGGTCTTAGAGGACCTGTGAGTTCCAAAAAATTGAGTGAAAAGCCATCAAACACTTACCACCAGCTTTTGTCAACCTTAAATGGCCTCAAGCAATTGCTCCATACCTCTACCTCCTATTTTTTTCTGGTGAGAACTACCAGATATGGGCTGTCAAAATGAAGACTTATTTGAGTGCTTTTGATTTGTGGGAAATGGTGGAAAATGAGAAGGAACCACCACAACTTCCTGCAAATCCAACAGCAACTCAAATGAAAAATTATAGTGAAGAAAAAGCAAAGAGGTACAAGGCTAAAAGCTGTATAGAGTCTTCAGTTTCTGATGACATATTCATTAGAATCATGACTTGTGAAACTGCAAAACAAGCTTGGGATGTGCTTATGGAAGAGTTTCAAGGCAGTGACAAGACAAGACAAATGCAAATGTTGAATCTTAGAAGAGAGTTTGAAGTCTTAAAGATAAAGGAGTCTGAAAATTTAAAGCAGTACAATGACAAACTCATGAAGATAGTAAACAAGATTAGATTACTTGGTGAGGAGCTGTTAGACAAAAGAATTGTAGAGAAGGTTCTTGTCAGCTTACCAGAGAGGTTTGAGTCAAAAATCTCATCCCTTGAAGACTCCAAGGACCTGACCAAGATAACTCCAGCAAAATTGTTCAAATGCTTTACAAGCTCAAGAGCAAAAGAAGGGCTATCAGACAAGAGGATTCAACAGAAGGTGCTTTTACAGCCAAGGAGAAAGGCAAGATGCAAACAGAAAGCAAAGGTAGAAAACAAGGAGATCAAAGAAACAAAGGTTCAAGAAACAGTGAAAAGAAAGGAAAGTTTCCACCTTGCTCTCATTGCAAAAAGACCACTCACTTAGAGAAATATTGCTGGTACAGACCTGACATACAATGTAGGTACTGTAAGTAGCTTGGTCACATAGAGAAGGTATGTAAAAACAAAAAACAGCAGTAACCAGATCAACAAGCCAGAGTTACTGACAATCAACAACAGCTAGAAGAGCAAGTTTTTGTTGTAACTTGCTATGAAACCAGAACCTCCTCAAGTGCATGGCTCATTGACAGTGGCTGCACACACCATATGGCATTTGATATCAATATGTTCAAAGAACTAGACAAGACCTGCACCTCTAAAGTCAGAATAGGTAATGGTGATTTCATAGAAGTCAAAAGAAAAGGAGTAGTGACAGTTGAGACACCAACAGGTACCAAACTCATTTCAGATGTGTTATTTGTGCCTAAAATAGATCAAAACCTGTTAAGTGTAAGACAGTTGCTAGAAAATAACTACTCTTTAGTTTTCAAAGACAAGGCATGCATAATTCATGATCTCACTGGCCATGAACTCTTTACTGTTAATATGAAAGGAAAATGTTTTTCCTTGAATTGGCATGAAGCAAACTCCTCCGCATATGCTACTTCACATGATGAATCTTCTTTATGGCATAAAAGGATGGGACATTTCAACTACAATGCATTGAATTTCATACATAAAAATGATCTTGTATTAAACATGCATACTGTTGAAGTCAGTGCTGGAGTGTGTGAAGTCTGTCAGCTAAGAAAACAAAGTAAGTTGCCATTTACAATTAACAAAGCATGGAGGGCAACTGAAAAACTACAACTTGTTCATACTGATATTTGTGGTCCTATGAGAACCTTGTCCTTGAATGACAGTAGATATTTCATTGCTTTTATAGATGATTTTACCAGAATGTCACGCCCCGAATCAAGGCATAACACGGCCATATTACCTTGAAGTAAAACCCCAAAGCAATACGAGCCTAATCCCATAACATTGAACAACTCTCAAATATAAAATGTCTCATTAAGTAACATAGCTAGATAACAAGTCTCCAAAGGTTCAAATTAGAGTATTACAACTAAAATAACAATACTTCATAAATCTTATAATTTCTAAGTAGTTCTCCAATGCTCGATTCTTCTAGCTTTTCTCAAGCTAATCATACTTATCATTCATAACATCTGTAAAGAAAAGAAAATAGGGAATGAGCAAACCACGTCAGTAAGTGAAGGCTCACCACCTACCGGATCAAATATTGTTTCATACATGTCATATAGATCATTCAAAACATTCATCAAATCATAATGTCAAACATCTCAATATCATTGTTCTGTCAACATTTCGTAAATTCATAAATCATTGTAAATATGTTATCATTCAAATATCAAAGGCAACCAAATCATGGATCAATCATTAAAAATCATCGTAAATCATCATTATCATAAATCATCATTATCAATCAAAATCGTTATCATTCAAATCATTAACTACGGTCCACTGCTATAACCCGTGACATTGGCCGTATCGCATTATTCTCCATTGCTACATTAACGTTACAGGTTACGCTAACTATTATAACCCGTTAGCCAGGGCGTATACCTGCTAACTACTATTACCCGTTAGCCAGGGTCGTAGAACTAAGTTTTGGTGTCGATGATCTCACTTTTCAGGGATATAAAAACGTAGCCATCACAAAATCGCTCTTTAAACATGAATCATTTTCTCATTTCATTCATAAGCATGATCCATCGTTTATATAGAGAAACACAAAATAATAATATGCTTGATCCTATTTTCATACATCAAAAATAAAGAAATAAAACATTCTTTCATTTAGAAACATATATATATATACATAGATTCGAAAACAAGCAAAGTGTGTGAGATTCTACTTACCTTCTTCTGATTCCACCACCTAATTTTTCTCCCTCAAAATTTAGTGGCCTATTCAAGATAATTCGAACATAACAATAATTAATCAACCCATTTGAGGCCACTTATACCAAAACAATTAAGTTAAACAAGTAATAACTCGAGTAATTAATTCGGGCAGTCTCGCTACTTTCACTAAAATGATCATAACTCAAGATATTCAATTGGGAATTAAAATCTTATTAATGCGTTAGAAACTAGACTTGACAAGCTTTCTAACCATATATGGCTCATCTCGTGATTCTTTGTGGATTAATTATAACAATTTTTGCAAATCCACGTCATATGCTGCTGCCAGACAGCCTGTATATCTTTTCATAAAAATTACGTATTTATTCATAGGTAACTCCAAATTCAATTTCGCTTATTTCATTAGAAAGTAGACTCGATATATGGCTTAAACTGTAAATCCTTGTATAAAAATTTAGGGAAATTTCGAAATTCCCCCTTACTGCTGCTACTAGGCAGCCTGCACCTCCTTAGGTAAAAATTGGATAACTCTTCATAGAGAACTCGAATTCGACTCCCGTTTGTTTCATTAGAAAGTAGATTCAACATGCTTTCCAACCATATATAGTAATCATAGTAGTATTTAACCCTTTAATACAGAATATGACCTTAATTCATCACTACAAACACATGATTCATATCAAGATTTATACCAAACAAAGATTTTCCTTTCTATTCCTATCAAATTTCTGTTTAAGCAATAAATTCACATTACCAACTTTCTCAACACTTAACTTGACTCTAATTAAAGTCTAAATCATTTGCTCAAAGAGGGATAATGGAAACCCTAAAATTTTAGGGTTTCTCGATTATAATTTACACCTTAAGACTTAACCATCAATACTCCCAAAAATGAAAAAGATTATTTACTCACCTCTAACAGATAATTTCTCCTTGTAGATTTGTTCTTCCCTTCACTTGGAATCCTTCAATTGATCTTTTCTGTATAAGAAACATATGAGAAATAAGTTTCTATTTTTATTACGACTAATCGTCGACTGAAACTGAAAAGTTAACTCTATTAATAAAAAAAAAATTAGGTTATTTATCAATAAGTCCTCTGCACTTCTCATTCTTTATTAAAGAGTCCCCCTACTTATAAAAATACTTAAAATAGTCCCCTTTTTTTTTTCGGGTATTACACAGAATGTGTTGGATTTACTTCATGAAATAAAAGTTTGAAGTTGCAAATGTATTTTGAAAGTTCAAGGCTTGGATTGAGAATCAAAGTGGCTGCAAAATCAAGATCATAAGGTCAGACAATGGTACTGAATACACATCTGACAGATTTAATGAGTTTTATGAAGTTGCAGGAATTGAACACCAACTGACAGCAACTTATACTCCACAACAAAATGGAGTCAGTGAAAGGAAGAATAGAATAATCATGGAGATGGCAAGATGCATGCTGTTTGAGAAGAATCTTTCAAAGAAATTTTGGGCAAAGGCAGTCAATACCTCTGTCTACTTGCTCAACAGGCTGCCCAAAAAAGCTTTGAAGGGAAACACTCCTTTCGAAGCCTGGTATGGAAGCAAACCATCAGTGCACCACCTTAGAGTTTTTGGCAGCATCTGTTATGTGTTTGTTCCTGATATCAAAAGGGACAAGCTTGATCAAAAAGCAGAAATATGTATTTTTCTAGGCTATAGCAACATCACCAAAGGCTATAGGACTTACAATCCACTTACAGGCAAGATGATTGTAAGTATAAATATGAGATTTAATGAGCAAGCTACCTGGAATTGGGAAAAGTCAAAGGGAGAATCAGTCAAGCAAACTGCTGCAGACATGATAAGCTTTCAAGATCAAGAAGATTATATGTTTGAAAATGAAATCATTGATCATGAACCAGTGAGAGGAATCAGACCACTCATAGATATTTATCAAAGATCAAATGTTGCCATTCTTGAACCTGCAAGCTTTGAAGAAGCTGTCAAATTTTCAGAGTGAAGGAATGCCATGAAGAAGGAGATTCAAATGATTGAAAAAAATCAAACATGGATGCTGGTTGACAGACCAAGCAACAAAAACATCATTGGTGTTAAATGGATTTTCAGAACAAAGTTGAATGCTGATGGTTCCATCAACAAACTTAAAGCTAGATTGGTAGCTAAAGGCTATTCCCAGCAACTTGGTGTTGATTTTTCATAGACATTTGCTCCAGTTGCAAGGTTGGACACCATAAGGTTACTATTAGCCTTAACAACTCAGCAAAGTTGGAAAATATACCAACTTGATGTCAAATCTGCCTTCTTGAATGGTTATCTTGAGAAAGAGATTTACATTGAACAACCTGATGGTTTTGTTGCCAAGGGACATGAAGGCAAAGTCTATCTACTCAAGAAGGCTTTGTATGGATTAAAACAAGCTGTAAGAGTGTGGAATTCCAGAATTGATGATCATTTACTGAAGTTAGGATTCAAGAAAAGCCTTAGTGAAGCAACATTGTACATTAAAGTTTTTAACAGTAATGATCTGTTGATTGTTTCTTTGTATGTTGATGATCTTTTGGTGACAGGTAGCAAATTTGTTCTTGTGGAAGGATTTTAAGCTCCAAATGCAGGAAATTTTTGAGATGACAGATATGGGAGAAATGACTTACTTTCTTGGAATAGAGATTCATCAAGACCAGTAAGGAATCTTCATTTATCAAAGAAAATATGCAAATGAAATCTTGAATAAGTTTGGGATGGAAAATTGCAAACCAGTCAACACTCCTTTGGCTCAAAATGAGAAACTTATTAAAAAAGATGGAGCTAACAAAGTTGATGGTTCTATTTATAAAAGCTTGGTTGGTTGTTTATTGTATTTGACAGCAACAAGGCCAGACATCATGTATGCTGCAAATTTACTCTCTAAGTTCATGCAAAATCCTAGTGAGTTACATTTTAAGGCTGCAAAAAGAGTGTTGAGATATGTCAAAGGAACTAGTGAACTTGGAATTTAGTTCAAGAAGAATGAAAGTTCAAGATTGGTTGGATTCACAGACAGTGACTGGGCTGGCTCTCATGAAGACATGAAAAGCACTTCAGGCTATGTGTTTTTCATTGGATTAAATGTGTTCAGCTGGAATTCAAAGAAACAAGGAACTGTGGCTCAATCAACAGCAGAAGCAGAGTATATAGCTGCTGCAGCTGCTGTTAATCAAGCAATTTGGCTAAGAAAAATTCTGATGGATTTGAGTCAAAAGCAAGATGATCCAACAGAAATTTTTTGTGATAATCAGTCAGCAGTTGCAATGGTTAAGAACCCTGTGTTTCAAGGAAGAACTAAGCATATTAAGATCAAGTATCACTTTATTAGAGAAGTTGAAGCTGAGAATGAAGTGAAACTGGTGCATTGCAAGTCAGAAGATCAAATTGCAGATATTCTGACCAAAGCCTTACCAAAGGCAAGGTTTGAAACATTGAGGAAAAGTCTTGGTGTTTCCAGCAGAAATGCCAAGGAGGAGTGTTAGTGTGTTAGTGGTTGAAGCAACTAGGTATGGCATTTCTACTGACACTTTTGTAATAAGTTCTACCATCTGATCAGTTTAGGTAACATGATGGATCTGTGCATGGTGATCCATACTGTTAGGCAAACAACTCTTGTAGTAGTTAAACAAACTTTTGTATGTTAAAGCCTATATATTAATGAAATGAAGCTCATGATCTGCAGAGCCAATTTACTTCAAGTGACATATTAGTTTCTTCTGTTTTTTTGTTCTTCCTCTGCTCTAAATCCTTCAATATCACTTGAATTCTTGAGATTGCTAAGCTTGAAAACTGCTGAAGGAGTAACCAGATTAACCTCTTTCGAGTCAGCAGACCCCTTTCCAACCATGCAAAGCTTCCCAGAAGATTCTGACCAGAATCCATGCAGCTTCAAATAAAATGGACTTCGCGGATCATATGGTCTGTAAAATGTTAAGCTTCCCTTAATCTTGGACACACCATCTACATCAGTTTTAGACACATATCTGGTTTCAAATGACAATGAATTTGAGATTCTTGTGATCTTTGGGTTGGGAATTCTATTTCCACCAGTGTAATAACCTGTCATGTACCCATCAAATGTCCCAAAACTCTCAGTGTAAGTTTTAGAATTGGAGATTGCCTCAGGACGATTGAAGAGCAATAATCAGAATAAGAGACTTCAGTCTCACTCTCACTTGACACATCCACTTCAGTTAGAGCAGATTGGACTGCTTTACGAGAATAAGAGATTTTACTTTCATTCCCAGTGGATCCTTCAAATGGAATCTCAGCAGATGAGACAGTGTCTGCTGAAAAACTAACGAGCAGAAAGAAAAATGTGAGTGAACAAATCTGTAGCATTATTGAAGGTTTCATTGACATTGTAACATCAAAGAAGAAGAAACAATCAGCTATGTAAAGCTCTAATATACATCTCAAATTTAGTTTTTGAATTTGTCATTATCTAAATGTATCTGTTTTGATTCCACAAATAAAATCATTTCTAATCTGTCTTATTGAACATTTTACCGGCACAACTGAAATGATGCATATGGCAAACCGCCCAATGTTGCATTCACAAGACTCTTTTACGGTCATTGTAGTGTAATCAAGACAGTATCAAAGTCAAGGAAGGCTTGGAACTTTCTGCAAAGTCAAACTAAGCTACAAGGAGCGACAAGAAAGTTCAGATAGCTCTTACTCCTCGTTTGTCTTGTTCCTAGTAGGCCTGCTTTGCAACTTAGGTATATACTCCATTTCACTTTCATTGCTACAGAAACCTGCTAAAAATATGCCATGAAGGTATCGACGTGAGAGCATTTATCAAAGAGCAACTTATAAAATGCTAATAAAAATGTCTGATGTGATGATACAGATAAGTCATGAAAAATTATATAAAATTATAAATGGAAAATGAAAGCATGGAAGCATATTTCATATGGTTATTTATAGTGTTTTTTAATTCATGTCTCTATCTGTTAGAACACTGTATTTCTTGACCGGATTAAAGGGATCTCTTCATCAAGAAAAACTTATTATCAGCTTGGAATTTGGGAAGGCTATACGAAAGTCCCAGCTTTATGCGCATAAAACACCCTTTGAGATTAAAATCTTCTTGAAATATTTTTGCTAATCTAAATCCCATTCCCAAATTTTCAAAAGAATTTTAACTGTTATATTTCACAACAAAAAGAAAATTTGGAGAAGGCTAAGTGTAATTAGGAAATTTTAAATTTTTTTACAAGAGAAAAGGCAAAATGATTTTCAAATTACAGTTTACATGAGCAAAAGCTTTGAATTCCAATAAAGAAACTACAAATTATCTCCAGCACCAGCGCATCTTTTCTTTTTTTCATAGTTGAAACAAGGAAGAATTCTATATGAAACCTACCATAAAGAGGGGTGACATATCGCTTCCAGTTAAGCTACTAGTATTTTCTTTGCTGTGTTAAATATCATAGGAGAAACAGTAACAACTGCAAATAGTACTTGACATGCTGGAATTTTTCTGGAGTCATTATTCACCAATTACTGGTACCTTTTCATATGCTTTCAATTCTCTAAATCTACCAGGAATAATGCAAAGACCACCAAACTGCTGCTGCAAGTAAATAATTGCAGCAAAGAGCAGAAGTCCCAGAGGAATACAGACATCCCAAGCAGTGGAGAAAAAATCTTGACCAGGATTCACAAAAATGTATGTTCCCTTAAGTTGAATGTAGTTATGATTGCTGTAAAGATCATACACATGTGGCAGCAACCGAATGAAGGTGGTTCCAATATAGAATGAACAGCTGAGAGTATATTCTCTTGAGTTTGAGAAAATGTTGAGCAGTATCTGAGGTAGAAGAAAACCATCCGAGATTAAACCTGCAAAAGATTTTAGGTCTTTCCAGGTGGAATACTGGCGGTATTCTGCCGCATGGGAGGAAAGCAACACAACCTGAGGGCTATGCATACGTTGGTTGACAACCCCTGGGCTATGCTTCCCCCAGTTGACAACCATAGTAATGAAGGCCCCAACCACATATATTGATACAGTCACAAGCAGGGTCATTTGCTCAGCAAACCACAGGCCCCTATGGTTTTCATCATCTGATCTAGCTGACAACGCTAGCTGGAGAATGCGGAAGTGAAAAAAGAAAGCTACCATTGTAAGTATCCGTACAATTACCTCGTTCACTTCAAGCCATCCAGCGCTATGAACCAAAATACTGTTCTGACCTTGTTTTTCAGAGAACATGGCTTCAAAGTTCAGCACAAGAGGAATCATGTAGCCCAAGGTAAGAATCACAAGCATAACAAGTGAAATGAAGGAGAGAACTTCCGGATTCTTCTTCACATGGTAGAGCTGCAACCCCACAAAGACGCATACAAGAGTCTTAGATACCAAAACCATTATGATCCCCAGGTCCATAGTCCGAATGGTTTGTTTTGCTTGCTCAACACTGTAGGCAGCTGAAGACACAGTCAAAGGATTGAAGTAAAGAGGATCAGACCTTTTTCGTGTACTTTCAATGCTTCCCTTTATATAACCCCCATTCTTATTTGGTTTTAATGGAGGAAGTAGGAAATTCAGAAGAATTTCACAGTCCACAGATGCATTTTGGGAAACCTGATTTTTTAACCCAATCTTTCTGCAACCCAACATGCACAAGGCTCCTGTATCAGCATCATAAATCCCTTCAGCAGTAATCTCAACTTTCTCTCTGGTTACGTTATATAGAACAACTCCGCCATCTACCTTTGGAGCAGGTCGAAGTGTAATGCCTATCTCATAGCTGATATTGACAGGACCACTTAGCGCTGTTCTTACAGGCCTTGAGTTAGGAGGAGCACCCGTCAGATGCACATACTGCTTGCAAAGCCGATCGCCCACAGAGATAGGAACTGCAAAGCCCCACCCAGTTTTGCCTTCAGAACTTTTAAGTGACATGTCAAATTTCATATCAATGAAATTATCACCAGTTGGATGTCTTTCTCCCTTGCTTCTGGCAGGCTTCTTTCTTGGGCATGACTTATTTACTCTCTCAATTTCTGTGTATTCATACTTTAAGCCTGGAACCCCATCCACACGATTCTCAGTACTTTGAAACACAATTTTATTGAAGTAACCTGAATCATTCACAGTTGTGTTGGTCCAAATTTGACCCACCATGCTACTGGTTTTTCTCAGCGACAAGACGCCAGGAAACCATAAAGTCAACCTTGTTGTGCAATCCCCAACTCGAGCATTAGACCAAGATTCTGCAAAGTCCAATATTCGACAGACAAAAACACATAGCTGATTCTTCTTGTCATCCCAGAATCCTTCGCCAATCAATGTTGAGTTGGGATTAAAGGGGCGGTAGAACCCAACATAGTTAGCATTGTGAAATTCTATCAAAAGACGAACTTTCCTTTTGAACTCTGAACAATACTCAAGTCTTGTGAAAGACATAGCAGAAGGCAAATACCCATCACCACCAAAAGGAAGACAGTTCTTTCCAGGGCTGCAACTAGTTGTATACTGCAAATTAAAGACATTTCCGGCGGTTGAAATTATTGAGCAAAAACTTCTTCTTGGCTGTACATAGTAGGGCAAACCCTGCACATTCACTTTCACCAGAAAATCCATCCACAAATTCCTTAGAAACAAACGTGCAGTTATAACCCGATTGTGGAATCATCAACATTGAGACTGGCTCAAAGTAATCCTTATCATTACTTAAACTCACGCTCACTAAAGTTCCAGTAATCAAAGAAGTGATGTTATTAAAATTCTTGAGATTATTAAGCTTAAGAACAGCAGCAGGAGTCAGCAGCTTACCTTCTTTGGAGTAAGCAGAGCCTCTCCCTACCATACAAAGCTTCCCAGAACGTTCTGACCAGAACCCTTGTAACTTCAAACTCAAAGGACTTCTTGACGAAATATCTGACGTGTATGGCATGTTTTCAACATAGAATGGATTTTGAAACATCAAGCCGCTTTCAATCTTGATCACCCCGTCTCTATCAGTTCTATATCCCGACCTGGTATGAAACACGAATGAATTCAAGAACCTGGTTATGTTTGAATTGAGAATTTTGTTTCCACTACCAGAGTAGTAATAACCAGTCTCATACTCGCGGAAAGGGCCGAAAGACTTGTAAGTGGGATAATAATGATAATCTGGGGTTGATTCAGGGACAATTGAAGAGCAATAATCAGAATAAAATGCTGCAGTATCAGTAGATAATGCTTCAGTTTCAATGCATGAGACATGTTCTAAAAAGAAACTAAAGAACAAAATGCAAAATGTGAGATTACGAATCCATAGCATCAGTGAAGATTTAATTGCCATTGTAATATCAAAGAAGATGAACCAGTTTAAGTCATGATGAGTAAAGGTCCCGTATTTATCTAAAATGGTTTCCTTTGAGTTTGTCATTTTCTCCGTATTTTACTAGTAAGAACATTTGGACGGTACTTTCTGTCCATAACTGGATTATAACATCCATTGTAGTCTAGCATTGATAAAGACAGAATCAAGGAAACGTTGGAAATTTCCGGGAACAAAGTAAAAGAAAACTCTCGAAATTTAGCATTTTATTTAGATAAACTTCTTCACTTTTATTATACTTAAATAAGTCTTGAATATTGTAAAATAACGCTTAAATCCCGAATAAACTATATTGATAAGTGAAAAATAAAATAGCAATAAGAATAAAATAATGAATACAAAGATTTACGACTTAAAACTCTATGTCCACAGGCCAAGATGATCAAAAAGTGTTACACTATGAAAATAAAGAAATTTACAAATGACAACAAGAGAGACGACACTCTATCCAAAACCTAACCTCACCATGAGCACTTTTTATTTTCTGCTCACTCACTCTCTGATTTTTCTCTCAAGCTTTTTCACTAGCTCTTGGGATGGCATTCATCTGATTGCAAATACCTCTGCAGCACAAAGCTTTATATAGGTGTTGGGATCCTGAAAATCTGCTTCCTAACACACCATATTTAATGCGTTACATGCAGATTTTCTTCCTATGCAGCACCGTTTGTTGCTGTGTCCTTTCTTCTTCTTCTTATTTCTTCCATCTTTTGTTTTGTTTCAACTAAGCATTGATTCGCTCATATTTGTCAATTGTTTCGGCTTGACTTATCAAGCCCGCAACCAACGCTAACATTTACTTTCCACCTAAATAAATTATTAAATTTTAATTTATATCTAAATAAATCATTATCTTTTAATTTATATTTTAAAAAAATTTCATCATAAATTAATTTTTTATTTAAAATAAGAAAATACTTAAATACAAATCAAAAAATAAAATTTATTTAGATATAATAAAAATGTAAAAATTTATCTAAATAAAATGATAAAATTTAAAAACTATTTTAATATTTTAATCAATTTCTGCAAACTCAAGACATGCGGCTAGAAAACTTCTGGGATTGGATTTTCCATATAACCCTGCAGTACTTGTTGAAAACAACTTTCTTCAATAAGTTTAGCTAGGTCAAAGGTATCTTCTTTATCACAAAAGACATTTTTGGCCTGCGAAGTGCAAAGCTTTTTCATTTGAAAAAGAAAGAAAAAAATAGAAAGAGAAAACCTTTATTAACAGTCGAATCGGAGACAAATTTCTTCGTTCTTTTTCTTCATCGATAGCCCGCTTTTGTCACTCTTAAATGTTATGATGATTCCTAATACCACCATGATAATAATTTAGATGTTATTATTCACAATCAACTACGAGAAATTTGGACCTCTTCCAAGAGAAACAATGTTTTGAGTTTACACAAGCATATAAAAGCTTTAAAAAATAAATTAGAGAATGGGTAGCTTCGAACATAACACCCAAACCAACAAGAAAACCCCCCAGAATACTAGTAACATTTCTCAAATACAACTACTCAAGAAACATGAAATCCAATGTAGCCACCAATTTTGTCCTATTTTAACATAAATATAATTTTTTTATTATTATTATTATTATTAATCTAAAAAAATAAGTCAAAAGAAAAATTGATTTCAACTTTGGCGAAATAAAGCTGTGGTGCTTTGTTTTAATTTATATATAAATAAGTCATTATCCTTAGGTAGTATGAAATTCGATGACCAAAAGTTATAAGATAGAATCTAAAACTTTTTACACAAAAATTTCAAGAGATTTAAGATTTGAATCATAGAAGCTCTATAAATAAAACTAATTTCTATAAAATATAATAAAAAAAAAAAGAAATACAATAAACCAAGGGAGAGAGAATAGAGAGAAAAAACCAAGACGAAGTTTAGGGGTTCTGTAAAACAAAAACAATTACAATCCTCTTTAACAGAGGAACCAACAACAAACACTAAAAAAATTTAAAAAAATTCCTTGAGAATGAAATTCTCGATCTAAGAGATTTGAGATTTTTTTTTTAAAATTTTGGTTTGAAAAGAGTATTTAGAAAACAAAAAGAAACAATTTGAGATTTTTTAAAAATTTTATTGGGTTATCAAAAATTGAAAAAGTTTGAATTTTTTAGCGATCATTAAATTTTTTGACATCAAAAACTAAAAAATTAGCCGGAATCTAGGAATATTTTTTTTAGGTCAATTAAAGTTTTCGACCATTGGTGCACAATGGCAACCAGCCAAAAACTGGGCTCAACGGCGGCCAAGAGCTGGGTTTTTTATAGAGAGACGCTTTGGGGTAAAGAAAAAGAGAGGAAAGAAAAAATGAAAAAAAAAACGAAAATAAACTTTTTATAAGCACTTCAAAAAACATCGTTTAGAACATCTTATCCGCGTCTGACTCCCGTAAGATCCACTCATCAACCCCCACACCAACCTGACCCATTTGACAAGTTTTTTATTTTTTTAATATTTTTTGTTTTTTCTTTTTATTTTATTTTAAAGTTATTTTATGTTATTTATTTATTTATTTTTCGTTTTTGTTGTTTATTTATTTATTTTATTGATATTATTGTTGTTATTATTATTATTACTAATAATGATTCTTTTGGAAATAAATAAAAGAAATGAAAAATAAAATTAACTATTTAAGAAAAATAAAATTTTATCACAAACAAAAATATTATTTAAATTTCACCAAAGTGTTTAGATAATTTAAAAGATAAATTTTGCTAAAAGAAATAATAATAATAAAATTATAAAAAAATAAAATAAAAAGAAATGATTAATTGTTTAAATGAATCTTTTAAATATAATTTTTAAAGAAGACTAAAAGAGTTTGATTTTCTTTAATTATTGCAAGTAAAAATAATTTTTTGGATTTCATGATAGAGTTGGAATAATCCAAAATTATTTTTCCTAGAATAAAAGTTTATTTAAACAATATAAAATATAATAATAATAATAATTGATATTTTCAATAAATTTCTTTTTTAAAATGTAATTTTTTCAAGAAAAATTGAAAGAGTTCGATTTTCTTTAATATAAGTAAAAAATTAATATTTTAGATTTTGTAGGTGAGTAAGGATAATCAAAATTTTTTAAAATAATAATAATAATAATAAATAATCACAATAATAATTAATTAATTAATTAAATCCCTTAATTATCATAAAAATTATTTTTATTTAGGATCTCATCAAAAAGTTGAGATGATTTTAAAATTTATTCAAAATTTTTAGGATTTCATCAAAAAGTTGGGATAATTTTAAAATTTATTAAATAAATTTTGAAAACTCACCAAAAAGTTGGATGTTTTTAAAATCATCTTATTTTACAAAATATATATCTTATGATGAGATTTTGATAATTCTGTAAATGATCAATTTTTTTGAAATATTTTCTAAATAATGATTTTTTATAAATTCTGTCAAAATGTTGAAGAATTTGTAGAATACAAAATAATAATAATAATATTATTAATTTCATAACAAAGAAATGTTTTTTATATAAGTTTAAGAAAATTAAATTTAAATATAAAAAAGATCGCATCGTTAAAATTTAAAGATTACAAATGTTTAATTGGTATCGTTCTTTGAACGAGCGACATGAGGATGCTAATATCTTCCTTACTCGTAACCGTAATTTCAAACTCAACTCTTATTTCATAGACCTAAATTTATTTTAGTAAATCTTAATTAATTTTAAGATTTTTATTAAAATATAATGTTTTGGGTGGCAAATCACACTTTACAAAAAGATTGGTGGCAACTTCAAAAATTTTCACCAAGTCTAGTGATTGAGTCCTCCTGAACAAAAAATCATTATGACATCATATATTTCCAACAATAGTTTTAAGCCACCTCAGATCATCATCACAAACGATCCAACCACCTGTATAGTCATAACAGTATATTCCCATTAAGTATATGAATTAAGTTGTACAATGTCAAAACTATTTGTAAGCATCATAAGAATGAAAACATGTGACACTCTAATTATGGAGACTTAAACTCAATTTGTAAGATATTATTCACTTTGATTTGTGATATCCTAATTTTATATCGAGATATTATAAAAACCTATTATGGTATATATAGGTAAAATTCTAAACTCATACTTGTGAAACACTTTTTTAAGATAAAACCATAAAATCTTTAGGTGAAAATGAACAATATCTAACATGATGAATGTGGATATTCACAAATGGTATTAGAGTAATCACTAGCTAGAAGAGTTAAATGCTACACAATGAGAGTCACCTCTAAAATCCTAGTTCTATATGTTCTATATTGGGCTTGCCAAAAATGCCAAGTAGAGGAAGTCTGAGACATTCCAATCCAAATATTCTGAGAATTTATTATGGTATATATGTAAATATCTAAATTCATACTTATAAGACACTTTTTATGAGATAAAACCATAAAATTTTTAGGTTAAAGTGAATAATAATTCACAAGTTGAGTATGGATATTTATAATTACTATGCATATTTATAAGTAAAACATTTCTAGTCAAATTTCAAAATTTTAATTTCTAATAGCTCATATTGCAATCTTGGGAATATCATCAACTCGATTATTTTGACATTTGGAGGTAGTAAAGACTTTTTATAGGCAACCCATTTAAGGGTTTGAAACTTTAAAGCTAGATTATTTCAAACCTAAATAATATAAAAGTTTAGTCCAACTTAACTAATGTTTTTGAAGTTAGAGTAGATAAATCATTTTCCAAATCCTAGTCTTAGGGTTATCTATATAATTTTGTCCCACAAAATAAGTCTTATAGATTTAGGTTTAAATCTTCACATATATATCATAGTAAAACTTTAAATTATCCTAAAGTATTCTATATGGAATTGGAATATTACAAACTCCCATTATTAAAGCTTGACATTCCCATCAAGCTCAACATAAAGTACACAGATTAGATCTTTACATATATATCATAACAAAACCTCATATTATTTCGATGTGGGATTGGGGTTCTCATCAAGCTCAACACAAAGCACACAGATCCAATCTTTTACATATATATCATAACAAGATCTCATATTATCCTAGATTATCCCTATATGGGATTGGGGTGTTACAAACTTCCTCATTAAAGCTTAACATTCGTCATGTAGTACTTAGTTCTCGTCCAACTAATTATCGCTCTGATACTATTTTGTAGAAACTCACACCCAACTTGCGAGGTATTGTCCACTTTGACCTAAATGTCTCATGATTTTATTCCATAAAAAGTACCTCACATATTCGAGTTTAAATCTCTACATATATATTATAGCAGAATCTTAGATTATCCCAATATAGAATTAGGGTGTTACAAAAAAAAATCATAGTGAAGCACGTTCATTGGATTTAATGAACGACATACTATGTCTATTATCAATAAAGAGCCTATTGCATTTCAACTATGCATCCAGATGATGGTGTTTCCTAATAAACAATCAAATTTTCTTTAAACTCTATCTCAAACGATCCACCCAAGCCTACAATTATGGCAGCCTTATAATTGTTGAAGCTAGTAAACTTAGTTTAATGGATTTGAGTTCAGTGCATCTTGTAGAGGAAGTCAATGATTCTTTAAAGTAATTATTCAAAGTTGCATTATTCAATTGCAGAGCATATGCAAAGGCTTGCTCTTGTCTTGTTCATATTATAATAGTATTATGGATTTGAGTTCGTTACATATCGTAAAGGAAGTCAATAATGCTATACTGTTACAATGTTCAAATTGTTTAGATTTGTTTCAACCCCATCAACGATGATTATAAGGTGATTTATGAGCTCTTGAATTTGTAGCCTTCCAGTTAGAGGAGTTTGTGCAAGAGGTGCTTTATGTTAAGGATGTGGGGTCTAGTCCCATTCCTTTAGACCAATCAAAGACCATGCGCCTTTCTATTTTTATTTTTAATCAAAAAAGAAAGCCCTACATATTATAAAATATGGGCAATTTGGCATGAATGTGGCATCAAAGAGAGAAAAAGAAAAGCCAGAAAAGATAAAGAGAAGAGAGTTGATTGATTATAAGTTGATCTGTGGTATGATTGAGCTAAAATTTTATCAACAGGTTTATGATTCAGAATTCTACATTCTGAACAGTGAAGATCGAATTTAAAACACTCTAAAAACAAATTTAGGTCATATTTGTTAAATCACTTATTTGATGATATTTCTTCAATAAGTGAAATAAATGTTTAAAGAGATTCAAAATAAAAAATTCAGAGCTTGATTAATATGTCAAAGACTTAAATGATTGTTAAAGTTTTATTTGAGAGTCTTTTTATCTTTTTGCCCTACTTTACTTCTTCTTACATTAACCTTTTCTTGTTTAAATTTCATAGGACGTAAGATAGATTTTTTTCATGATTAACTCATTCCTCGACAAACTATGTAAAGACTATGTTTGAATAGTTAATTTTTTCATAGGTATTTGTAATATCCTATATGTAGGGATTTCAATTTATAGAAAACAAAAAAAAAAAAAACAAAAAAGAGGGATGACATGTCAATTATTCATTTGTTTGATAGTGAATGATCATGTATAAAAGAATATATCCCATTCTAGGAGAAATCATTTAAAACAATCATATATTTTGATCGAATAATAGGTTGGTATTCGAATGCCTTTCATGGATATTCGAATACCCTAGTGATTTTCTATCTAATATCCTGAAACAATGAGTGGGAATCGAATGCCTATGAGAGTATTCAAATACCCTGAAACAAAAAGCTGATATTTGAATACCTTATGGGGGCATCCAAATACCCTTAGCTAAAACTTCACTTTTTCGGTTCATAAATGTTTCCAAAACATGTTTTATGCTTAACTCTGATTTTCAATTCATGATGAAATTTTATACTTAAATCAACTTTCTTTTATTATTTTAAAAATATTTCCAATAATACGTAAAAGACTATGTTTCGGATAGTTGATTTTTTTAAAAGTATTTATAATGTTTTATATTTAGGGATTTCAATTTACAGAAGACAAAAAAAAAAAAAAGTGAGACGTCAATTTGCTTGATGTTTTTCAAAATTTTTAACATTTTCTTTATGAATATTTTACTACTATCCTTAGGACCTCAATGTGCTCATTGATATTTAATGTTCCTTGGCCAAAAAAATATATTAAAAAAAAAAATCAGTGAGAAGAAACCAATGCCAAAAAAAGAAATATTAGAGAAAAATTAAGTTAAATACTACTATAAATTTAATAAGAATGTAAAATCTTATGCTATCATTACATATATATCATCACATATGAAATTGATGTGATGTATTTTTTTTATATATATACATTTAGATGCATTTAAGGGATATTTTAGTATCATATATTGTAGTTTAAAGACTTAAATAAAAATTTTATATTTTTTCGTTGACTTGAAACATATAATTTTATCATTTATTTGTAAATTGTAAGTTGTAACGTAATTATATTATTTATTATTTTAGTGAAGAGTTCATAATGTATTGATTTTAAGACTTAAATTGTTGATGTTATTTTTTAAAAAACTAATTGAATTTAAGTGCAACACAAAAATTGTTTGTTAATAAATCAATTTTATATATGATAATAATTTTATTTTTCAAACGTATTATTACAACTAATATTAAAATTAACGTGTATTAATATCCATATAAAAATATAAAAACTAAAAAAATATATTTTTATTTATATCAATTTAAAAAAAGAATTCATTTCATTCCCGGAGCTTTTACATTTAGCATACTAAATTGGAAAGGTGATATATAATTTTTAAAGTATATTTAAAAAAAATACAAAAAATTAATTAAAAATAAGACATGTATCAATCTCTTAATTTAAAATTAAAATTTTACATTACCAATATATCAAATATTAACTCTTAGACCTCCACAACACTATACGAACCCGTGTTTCAAAACTCGTAAACATCAACAACTTTGAGCTATTAGGTATCTTCCTTGATTAAAAATTTAAAATTTAAATCATCAAGTGGTTAAGCCCCGATGAATAAAGGTTGGGTATATGTCTAAAATGGTTTCATTCGAGTTTGTTAGTTTTTCCATATTATTTTAGTGTAGTTTCACTTTCACCCGTAAGAACATTTGGATGGTACTTTGTCCTCTTCAGGATTATATCATCCATTGTAGTTTAGCATTGATAAAGACGGAATCAAGGAAAACTAGGAAATTTCCGCATACCCAATCCACACGGCAAGAAAACATCTGGGATTGGATTTGATTTTCCATACAGGCCTGTATTACAACGTTGAAAACAACATTTTTGTAGTATGTTTTATTTTTAATCTTTATCCAGATGATTTATGTATGCAAATGCAGAAAGTTCATTGTTTACATTTGTGATCTCTTGATAAAATATTGATAAAAGGTAAAACTCTTAAGAAATGATCAAATCTGAACCGGCTCAAATATTAAAAAAAAAAAACCATTCATTAACAGCCATGGTGGCTACCATTTTTTTTTTTTTCCCTTTCTTTACTGGTAAAACGATTTTGTCACTCTAAATGGAATGATGATTCCTAACATCACCCTGATAATAATTTCAGGTGTTATTATTCACATCAAGAAGATTTGAAAAATGCTGAATCAACTACGAGAAATTTAGACCTCCTCCAGGAGCAAAGGCAAAATTTCCAGTTTACATGAACATATAAAAGCTCTAAAAACAAAAGAGAATGGGTAATTTCCTCTTTGCACCCAAACCAACAGGAAATCCACCAGAACACCAGTTCAGATTTCTCAAATGCAATTACTCAAGAAATATAACACCCATCGATTTCCAGCAATAGATCCGAGCCATCTCAGGTCCTCATTGATAAATGCTAAGAACAACTGCATACAGTATATCCCCTCCTTGTGCTAAGCATGAGTTAAGTTGTACAGCTCTTATGAAAAAGAACTGATAACCTGGACCCCAATCTTATATACATCCATGTACAATGTCAATTATAGCTAAGCGTCCTATGAATGAAAGCATGTGACACTCCTCAACTCAATTCTAAACTACTTGACAAGAAATCAATTAAACTACTTTGCATATTTATAAATAAAACCATTCTGGTCAAGTTTCAAAATTTTAATTTCAAAAAGTAGTTCATATTGCAGCCTTGGGAATATGATCAGCTTGATTAATCTGACATTTGGGGGAAGTAAGAAATTTCTCACAATCGTTGACTCCAAGTACTGTAAATTCTTTCACGAGCATATTTACACATCCAGCCACAGAGTCCTTAAACTTCTGTGAGCAGCTCTTGTCACCTTCATCGACATCTTGAACACCACCTCTTACCAGGCAACCTACCTGAGCGCCATCCATATATGCTTTACACGCCACAAGAATATCATTAGCACGCCTGTAGAAATGGCCCACAACAAAATCCTCAAAATGCTGCACCCAAACATGACTTTATTAGAATTTTAAGCCAAAGAGTAGCAATGGTAATTAGACATTCTAACTCGCATTGTGGAACAAAATTTCCCTATATTATCATCAATATCTTAATGCAAGTGACTAGTCCAACACTCCAGGCTAATGGAAATATCAAAAATATAATCTTTTCAACTTACCTTTGGTGGCCTCCTCATTGAGTAGATCATTGTCTTCAGTGACAAGATAAATGTATCCTCATTGTATTGCCGAGACAATAATTCACCTTTTGGCGTGCCACTATGATGTGCCCAACCTGGCTCATTAAAGTAAGGCTTCTGATTCAAGATTAGAGCCTGAATAGATACCAGAACTTGGAGCATGGTTGACATACTAGGTATCCACTTCTCATTCTTATTACCAGACCAGGTGTTAAGAAGACTAAGGCATACTTTCCCACAACTATACAAATTTGGATTGAGTCGAAGGCCACCAGAATGGTAGTAAACATGCTGCAAAAGGCAATAGATAGTCATCAGACCAAACATGTACACCAGAAGATATGTTCATACAAGATGCAAGATAGTTTTTTCAAATTCATGAACTACAATTACATACTGGTGGTACTTTAGGATAGCTAGCAGGGAAGAAAACATCAAAGAAGAAGAGACCATCATGGTAGGGAGTGCCCTCTGCTCCTATAATTACAGCCCTTAAGAGATCCATCCTTGATTCATAAACCCTAACAAAAATAGTATCTGTTGAAACAATAAAAATGAGATAAAGTAAGAAACAATATTATTTATACATTTCATCAACAAATGAGTAAATTGTTGCCAGCACAGTAGAAGATCTCAGCTCTTAATATTGCATCCAAAACCCAATGTGCATTTTCAGTCACAATTCAAGTATGCAGTTATTTAAAAGGGATGATAAAAGAAAGAACAAGTCATCAAATAAAAATTATTTCGGAGTATATAATGCTTAAAACTCACCTGGCAAATCCTTCTCAAGTATTTTCCACTCCTCCTGAATCTTCTTTGCCCAATTTTTCGGTGGCTGCCACAAATAAAATTAAGAAAGACCAAGTTTATTGGTTGAAAAATTAAGAACATAACAACAAAGAAAAGGTAAACCTTGATATATCTTGAAAAACTAGTCACCTGCTTTGTTGAAGCACCACTGGAAGCATAGTGATGGTCAGAAAAGTCTTCAACAGTATCAAACTGTTTAAAAAGTTGGAGCTTATTGAGGATATCTTCTTCATTCACATTTCTCTTCTTTCTGATCTCTGCCACTTCTTGAGAAGTAATATAAACACCATCAAATGGGTCAGGAAAACTGGAATAGATATCATGCTTATTGAAACTATATTTTGGTTTCATAGGTGGTGGCCACCAAGGCATCGATGGCTCCACAACCACATTGTGATTTAATGCATCTACAGGTGTAGGAGAATTTGAATGCAACAAACTACTACCACCAATTTGCTTCTGTATGGCAGAATTAAAATGATTCCAATAAGCTGGATTTACTGTATCAGGGAGCTTCATTGCATCAGAGTGACTCACATTACTACCATTAGTTGAACCACCAACCTGGGAAGACTGCAACGAATGCCCAAGTGGAAGATTTTGACTATTCCATCTATGTCGCGAAGTAGCTGACTTCTTACTTTGAGAACCTTGTGGAAATAACACAGGTGAAGGCAGACTGGCTCCTCCAGGAGAATGACTCAAAAGATCACCTGGGGTCTGGAAACTTGTGCTACTAACTGAAGCTGCCTTCTTGTTTGCATGAGCAGGCTCTAATAACCATGATGAATGATATTGATCATTTGTATCAACACTCGATGAAATGTTCCCTAGAGAAGTTTTCTTTTTACTCCCTGAATAATCTGCAAACCAAGGGATGGCTGCCTCTACTCCAGCAGGAATATCAACATTATCAAAATGTGCTTGCAAATACTCATCAATATCCATAAATTCATTAAGGTAATTGTTATCAAAAAACTCATCATCGTAGGCCAAATCACAATCAAAGTTATATATATTTTGTGATCCTTGAGTTGAAAGCTTAGAAGGTTCAACCTTGTTTATTGAACCAAGAGAATTAGCCACAAAGTCCTGCATAGAAAAAGGGGAAAAAGTAACAACAAAATCACAGGTCCAAATGTGCATTAAATATTATGCTAGACACCATAAACAGTAACTACTGCAAGAAGACTCCAATCTCTCAGATACCTCAGCTTGAATGGTATTATAAACAGCAGAGCTACTTTTCACTGCCTTCCCTTTGTTCCTTACATCAGCTCTCTCATCAAGGATCACTACATCACTTGAATCTTCATCTTTATCAACATCAATTATTTCATGAATAACAACCTGCCAAGATAAGAAACAGAAAGTTTCTAGTAACCCATGAGATAAGATAAGGAAGATTTTTCCCAGAGCAAAAAGATTGATGAAAAAAAATGAGTTAAGAACACATAACTTGATAAAGAATCATTTAAAGAATGTGAGGCTTTGGTAAATTTGTGTTTTATCTCTATTTCTAACAAGGAAGGTTGTATAATATAATAGATGTTTCTTTGATATGAATAGCTAGATTTGGAGTTTGTTTATCTAAAATACTCAATTTATATAAAGTCAACCTTAACCTCAAAATAGTAGAATTAGCCACAAGAATGCTTTTCCAACATCCTACCCAATCTATGGCTACTCTCCATGAAAAATAAGATTATCTGGTGTGCTCTCTTTTCCACATTAATTAATACACAGATCATGTTCAACATCAAGTTCATTAGACTATTACATAAGACCCTTACTGACCAAATCCATATTTTAGAAATTATGGGACATTTTCAGTCTCAGACATGGAAAATGAGACTTAATTTGCACCTAAACCTTTGTGCTGAGCAATTACAGAATTTGATCCCTATTAGTTTAAATGCTCAATACTATCTTCAGAATTGTATAAATGTAGGATATTGCCCTTCCATCACGATTGATCTCAGTTAGCTCAAACTAACAAATGAGAAAAGTCCTTAGAAACTTCCTGATAATTAACCAAACCACATTGAGCATTGAAAAATGAGCTTGAAGCCAATTATATTCATTTCAAGCATCTATTCTAATTATATATACATGCATCAATTATTGTCATCTAGTTACTAAAAGAACATAAACACTACTACATTCCCCTAAGGAATATGCAAAAGCAAACACATGTTGACAAAAAACCTATATGCAATCAAAATTTAAAAGCAAAGCATCATCTTTTATTTTATACCCCACAAACAAAAAGTAACTAGTCTATAATAAATTAAATAAAAAGGCTCAAAAACAATTCCACACCAAAAGGAAATTGAATCTTCAAAGCTCCGCATTTCAAAAAAAACAAAAAAGTTACTTTGTGATAAACAAGTATCCGAGAGTGGTTTTGGTGCATGGATAAATATGAGTTCAGGTAAGAACACACGCTAATTAATCACCGACTCCTTTACCAAGCATGCTTATCATATGGAAAATGGTCAGGTTTATGGTAAAACCCTACAACAGGGGCCAAAGGAAGGACCCATTGTCGCAAACTGCTCATTTGGGGCCCCTACAAGCAATGGTTCCTTAACAAATAAGGGCAGAGAGCAGTTAACAGTCACCACAGTTGCCACAATAACTACTCCCTTCTATTATTAGCTCAAAGACCAAAGTCCTACACCAACCAAATTTTACATTAAAAAGAAATCTAAATATGGAATAAATTTGTTAACTTTAAACCACCATGATTGTAAGAACCATAGTCACAAGTCCCAACAAACAGTGAAGAGTGAACACATAAGTTTTCACTGTAAAAATCCAAAATTTAATTACCTTAAACCCTAATAAAACAATATCCAAACAAAAATAAAATCAATAAAAATTCCTAAATAAACCGATTAATCAAAATTCTAACAACAAAAGCAACAACAGAAGCGATCACTGTATTTATTCGAATCCAAAATTCAAAGAAATGATAATTTTCATATAAATGAAGTTAAACGAACAAAAAATATGAGAGAGAAAAATTTTAAATAAAAAAGAGGTTTCTCGGAGGAGACCTGTTTTTGTTTAGACTTAAAAGAGCGAGGCATCGGAGGAGGAATCTCGATCACTTCAGGGTCCATGAAGGAACTGGAATTTGACGAAGAAAACAGTCGTTTCCTGTTTGGAGAGTAAGAAAGTGAGGAGAGAAAGAGAGATAAACTGAAAGAACAAGAAAAGTCATCAAAGAAAAAACCCAAAAGACGCTGAAATCTTTTTCTTTTTTTTTTTTTCCCTTTAATTAAGCAAGCAATTAAAAAAAAAGGATTTTAAAGAAAAACTTGGAATTCCGCGTATTGTAATTGGCTAGCCGAGTCGACTGCGGCGGCGATGGTGGCAACGGCTTCTTTGACGACCTGGTCATGAGGGAAACGATGCCGCTTCAATGATTTTACAAACGGGAAAATTGTTTTTTAATTCTTTTTTTCTCCAAAAGAGACCTTTCTGGCTATGGCTTCGCGCCTAGTCATGAGTGATATATAATCAGCTCCTTCCTCCCCAAATTACCCCTATTGGTTTAACTGTGGTCCCACTATGCTTACGTGTCAAGCATTAGTAACGACTGCTGGGAAGTTTGCATGGATTCAGCTGTAGAAAATCAAGGCCCAGGCTTCTCAGATAAGCCACGGTAAGTTGATTGAATTAAGATTGGAAAACCTACCAACGGATAAGATCGAGGCAAGTGCATTGGACATTTTTCAGCCGGGAGACACTGCAGTTTATTTTAAGGGTAAGAAGAAGCTGATGACGTCCACGTGTGCATCAAAGTTCTCTTGTCGAGTGGGACCCAGGCAAGCTTGGGGACGAAGCCGGGAGATTCGGATAAAATATTTGCTAACGTGGAAAATGAATCATAATTGGTTTTTCTAAAAAAAAAAAGAAAGAATAAATCATAATTAATGTCCACTGCTTTTTAGTTTTTTTTCTTGCTTAAACTTAAGTCATTTTCAAAAACTATTTAGATTTGGCAAAACAAATTTCCAAAATCTTTGATAAAGATTTCTTTCTTTCATTTTTTTTCTATCAAGTGAATGAAAAATAATTATATCAACATCGACTCGATCTTATGATAAAAAAAATAGATTTAACTTTTGATAATTTTAAGTATTATTTTTATTTAAAAAAATTTTAATAAATCTAATTTTAATGAAATTTAAAATTATTTAATAACTTTTGATATTTAATACTTATATTCCAAAAAATTTATTAAAAGTTTATGAGAAATGAATTTTGAATATAAAGGAGTGAAAGATTGTTTTTTTTAATTGATATTTTATTTATTTATTTATTGTCTTGTAATTAAGTTTTTATTTACTTGAATTTACCTTATTACCTAATAAAAAGTTCATATTTTGAAATAAGGACGTTTATTCGATTAATTTGATTAATTTAAAATTTAATTACTTAAAATCAAATTAAACAAATTATATTATTTTATTTTCATTAACTAGAATAAAATTTTTTAATTTTGAAAACTAACCAATTGAAATTAATTTAGTGGTTTGATTTTTTTTATTAATTGAATATTAAAATATATTAAATTATGTTATATTTTAAATTTGAATTTTTCTCATACATGAAACAAATTAAATAAAATCATCTAACAAAAATATCTAAACGCTAAAGTATTAAGTTAAAAGCTCTAATAATTTGAAATGATATAGATAATTTCATTTTTTTTTTGTTTTTGTTTTATAATATTTTGGTTAAAATTTTGGTTAATTTGATTAATTCAGTTTTCAAACTAAATTAATCAAAAATTAAAATTTTTTTAAAATCATTTTTAATAATTAATTAAAATTAATTTAATGACCAATTAACTAAATAATTTAAATCAATCCAATCGATTAATTCAATTAAAATTGAATTATGAAGGTATAAATAAGAATGAAAAAAAAAAAACTTTAAACAATGGTAGGCCTGTGGAAATGGCAGACTTTGGGCTATTAAAAGAATAGTAGACTTAGACTGAATATCTTTTGAACTAAAATTTTCCAAGAAAAAAAGGGCAAGACTAGATTTTGGCCCAACAAATGGACTAATGTATCCGATAATCCAAATTTTATTTTATGTAAAAAAATAGACAAATCATAATTTTTAGTTTCTAATTCATATATAGTTTAAATTAAATTTCACTTCATTCACATAATTGATTTTATGTATACTAATCTAAATTTTTTTTATTTTCCAACATAATATCATTATTTGGTTCTATAATTATTTTTTATTTTTAAAAGTATTCATGTATGTGTATATATATAATAAATTTTTATTTTTTACCAAAAAAAACATAAACCAATACTTCTTTCATCAAATTTTCAAAATGGGTTTGATTGTTTTTTGCAATAATCCTAAAAAACTTGATATGGATAAGTAAAGAAGAGAAAAAAAAAAAAAAAGGTGATAATGAAAAGGACAACCAAGATTTTTCTTTGCTATTAATGAGGATAAAAAGACTGAAAACATATATGTTAAGGCTATACTTTGTTCTTATAAAATCTTCCAAGGCTGAGATCGAACTCTTCAATTAGACCATCCCTCAACACACAATCCTAAACCATATAGCAACTTTGGAAACCTCAATTCCTTTTCGACATGGAAGTTGAACCTTTTTAATATTTGGTTTGTCATGGCCCGATGAAGCAAAACATGATCAAGTACTCTAGTCGAATAATCATCGATTGACTCATTGTCGTCAAAGGATACATAGGCTTTTGCTGTAAAATCCATAAATCTCTCCACTTCCTTGACGAAACAAGGGTTCATACAACATATTTTGTTGGAACGAAATGGAGAATGTTTTCACAAAGAAGATGTAGCAGACCAATTATTCACTAGCTTTCCCTTTCATTTGATGATAAATAAGCAAACTTACTGTGAGTTCTCATAGTAAAAAAAAAAAAAAGGGAAAAAAATATTAAATGAACTAAAATATTGAGACAAAATGTTGGATTGCTACAACAAAATGGAAGAGAAAATATTTGCATTCCAAAGAGAAGTAGGTGCATCCTATTTTCTTGAATTGCCATGAACAACAATCACATGCAACAATAAGCAGCAAGAATTCTTGTAATCCACAACCATTTTTAAGATCACTACGGGAAAAACTTTGAACTTTGGCATCTTTTTATCCTATAAATTTTGTCCATGTTCATACTAATGGCCGAAAATTGTGTTTATATAAGCAGTAAAAAATATATACAAGTTGATATTTAGGAATAAAAATATAATTATTTCAAAGATTTTCTTTAAATAACTTACGATGTATGGAGATTTTTACAAAATTACTTACAAAATATAATAATTAGCTTGAAGATTTTTGCAATGGTCATAATTTTAAAAAATTTTGTCAAATAGCTTACAAAATATATGAATATGTCATGCATTTTTTATATTTTTTAAATATAAATTATTAAAATTTTTAAATCAAAAAATTCCATAAGATGCCATTTTGTATTTTTTTTATGTTAAATCATGTTGTTTGTGCCTAATCAACAGACTTTCTTTATTTTTTGCTTCGTTTGATATAAAAATTTGTAGTGTTGTTTTCTAAAGGTTAAAAACTCAAGCTTTTAAAATGTTATTTACCATTATTTCATGGAGAACATTTGCTTCCTTTAACATATAATTATTGGATAAAGATAATAAAACATTACAGCAAAAAAATTAAAACCACACCAAATAATGGTCCAAAGGATGACAAATATGTCACCTTCATAATATAGAAATGCACAAAAATATGGGCTTACTCGTGTATAAAAAGATGCCTTCAAGTAACAAATTGTAAAAAATTTTGATTAATTTTCACTACAAGAGTTTAGGTTTTTAATAGCGTTTTTTTTAACGTTTAGAAACGCCGCTAAAAGATTTATGGTGTTTGCAAAAAATGTCACTTAGAGTGCTTGCTATACACTCGTCGCGAAAAATAGCGACATTTTCGAAAAAATGCCTCAATATTAGCATCGTTTATATCTTATATGCCACTATTTTAGCAACATTTCTATCTTTGAGACGCCGCTAAATTAGTGACATTTTTATGAGAAAAACGCCATTGCTATGATGGTGTTTGTAACTAAAAATGCCTCTACATTAATGGCATTTGTATCTTTGAAACGTCATTAATTTAGTGACATTTTTATGAGAAAAACGTCATTGATTTGATGGCATTTGTAACTAAAAAAGCCGTTATTTTAGAGGCATTTGTATATGAAAACGCCTATATATTAGCGATGTTTGTATCTTTGAGATACCGTTAATTTAATGACGTTTTTATGAGAAAAATACCGATACCGTTAATTTAATGACGTTTTTATGAGAAAAATACCATTGCTTTAGTGGTGTTTGCTGGTAAGAGCAAATTTAGTGGCATTTTTTATGAGAAAAATGCCATTGCTTTGGTGGCATTTGTAACTGAAAATGCCTCTATATTAACAGTATTTGTATCTTTGAGACGTCGCTAATTTAGTGGCATTTTTCTAAGAAAAACGTTGTTGATTTGGTGGCATTTGTAACTGAAAAAGCCATTATTTTAGAGGTATTTGTATATGAAAATGCCTCTTATTAGTGGCATTTGTATCTTTGAGACACCGCTAATTTAATAGCATTTTTATGAGAGAAATATCGTTGCTTTGGTGGTGTATGCTGGTAATAGTATCGCTACTTTTAGTAGCGTTGTATAATACAAACGTCACTAAATTATTCATTTAGCGACATTGTTGAACTTAAACGTCGCCATTATGTAAAAATATATATTTTTTAATTTCTGTTAATAAATTTTATCTTCATTAAAGAACTTAAATTCAGAAACTGAAATTAATATAAACTTAATTCATGTTTAAATATATATCTAATTAATACAAAGTTTAATAATTAGTATAATAACATTCAAATATTTTTAATACATTAACAAAATAAAAATTAAAATATGTGAAATGAATGACTGCATATATTTTGCTGGCTACTAATTGATGAAGAAAATTTTTCACCTTTGTGACTAGCGTGCTCAAGAATCTACTGAATAATACCATACAATTTTTAACACTTCATTGTAAGCTTTTTTATATTTAAAAATTTAAATATTTACTAAATATAATACCTGAGTTGGTAGAGCATCAAGATCATTTCCTAGAAATTATTGTTGCACAAAATTCATAAGATGATTGAATCGATCATGCAACTGCTGAAATTTTACATGCTCTTGCTCCATTCTATTTTTCAATTTTGGCATGCTCATGTTCTCTTTCTGCTTCCATTTGCTGAAAATATTGTTGCATAATTTGCAATTCCTCTCTCAATATTAAAATGTCTTGCGAAGACTGACTTGCTGAGAATGTAAATTGCTGAGAGCTATATCCATAATAGGCAGATGGTGTTAGACCCAATCCAAAGCCTCAAACCTGTCCATGCCTTTCTTTTTCAGCAACTTCTATGAATATTCAATTTTTTATTTTTTGCAT